TTTGATTAAGAAGCCCGAAAAGTAATTTGCTCTACCTGGAGTCTCCATGACCCTGTTATTTTGGGTAATGACCAACCGGTTTTTTAAGGGTCATGGGGACTCTGGTGGTAGGAAGACAAAAGGTCCATGTCCCCTTTATTTTGGTAATGACCAACCATTTTTTGAGGGTCATAGAGACTAGGTACTCGTAGTGGTAGGAAGCACTTTGGAAGGGTTTCACCGTGGGATCTCGAAGGAGAAGGAGCGCCTTGCAAAGCTCGCAGCAATGGCTGCCTAAAGGCGAGACTTGGTGCCCGAACGCAGGAGGCCTCGCGACCCTTTCCCAACGATATCAGGGACCCTCAAAAGGACGCACCCCATTTGGCTGTGGCTCAACAAACCTGTACCAAAATGGAACCCTGGTAAGTGGAAACATGGACCAAAACCTGTGTAACCTGTCCTGGTTAACTTTGAGCCACACCCACTTGGAGCCATAGCAAGGGGAGCCACGGGAAGTTTTTTTTGTTGACCCCCGAGTCATCAGCGGGGTGCTCCGCTGCAAAAGTGGGCTGAATCCTGACTAGGCATTGTACATATTAACCAGGCTCCCGCCTGCTGCCGCCGACCCTCGGCGCATTAAGGGAAAAGTCACAAGGACCGGTCCTGAAACACGTCCGCAAACCCAGGGACGACTTATAAGATCTTCTACGACCACAAACAAGGATTAACGGAAAAGTCAGAAATAGGGCAGCTAGTCCGTTAATTACCGCTTGGGCCGGCTTGCGCCCAAGTCACTTCGAGTTGGCCCGGGAGCAGTCGCCTCTCCCGGGGTCGCCCTGAAACTGGCCCTCCCGAAGTTGACCAGAAACAAGGATTAACGGAAAAGTCAGAAATAGGGCAGCTAGTCCGTTAATTACCGCTTGGGCCGGCTTGCGCCCAAGTCACTTCGAGTTGGCCGGGAGCAGTCGCCTCTCCCGGGGTCGCCCTGAAACTGGCCCTCCCGAAGTTGCCCTGGACCGGTCGCCGGCAGGGACCGGGACTTGGGACCCTGTCCAGGCTGGTCCCAGTCTGGCGCGGTTTGACTTGACGTATTGGACTCTCTTGCAGAATAGATGGGATCCTCTACTACCACAAGCCGGAAAGGTGTCTGGAGCGGTTTGAGGCAGCACAGCAGATTGAATTGGGACCCAAGACCAGCGGTCACACCAGGACTCGATCCCGGACCGGCTTCCCAGACCGGTCCCAGGACTGGTCCTGGCAGGACCAGTCCAAGGACTGGTCCCAGGACCGTCCTGGGACCGGTCCAAGTAATCCAAAACAGCAGAACCGGGGTCCCAGGACCAGTCCCAGGACTGGTCCCAGGACTGGTCCCAGGACTGGTCCCAGGACCGGTCCCGGGACCGGTCCCGGGACCGGTCCTGGGAATCCACTTTTTGTGGGTTCGGGCGTGTCCCCCAGAAACTATCATTGATTCCAATCACTTCCAGTTGCATCCCACGCCGGTCCCCTCTGCAGGAGGCTGGGACGGGAGGCAGAGGGTCGGCGGATTTAGTCAACCAGCGGTTTTATCCGGGGTTCCTAGTAACTCTCTGAACTTGTTTGCCCTGAAGACCTTTCAACTCGTTGTAGTTCGTCCATGCAGTACCCCCTAAAAAAGAGAGGAGGATATGTAAACATTTTTTTAACATGTTGAAAGGGCATGACCCAACCCTTGTTTCTTGCCAAGTGCTAAACTTCCCATTGTTTGTTTCCCCAACAATCCGAAAAGAAAAGCAGGGCCTCGTCTCTTTTTTGCAGTCCCGCGTTCTGAGCACCCAGCTAACCCGGGATCCATGACCCCTGGTTGAATGGTGCCCCCATTTCGAGAGGGGTTCCGGTGAATCCGACCGAACCAACTGTTCCCAAACCCATCCCGGGGTTGCTTCGAGCCATTCTTTTTGGCCTCGTAGGTGAACTGGTCTTGTCGAGAAACTGGGACGCCGAGAGGGAGCATTCCCGTTTGCTGTACTTGCTTCAGGGTCTCAATTGCCTGCTACCTCGATACAGTTCAACTTCGCCAAGACCATCCACACGCGCCCAGGGAGATACTGGGCCAACTTGGCCCAGTGGCTGTGGGATGCCGTTGACGTATGGGAAAACACTCGAGGAAACCCACACTTGGAGGCCCTTCTGGATGTGGAGCTGACTCTCATCGATCTCACGACGCCATCCGCGCCGACCATTTTCTCGCCCATGGAAAACTGACTTTGCTTCGTACAGGCTTTCTCCCACCCCGCTCCTATTTCTTTCATGGGTTGACAGCTAGGACGCACATAAATTTGCACGGCCGAGTCTTGTTCGCCGCCCATGGCTAGTTCGTCCCCCGAGCTGAGCATTCCTGGGCTCATGCGGCGCTAATTATCAGGAGATGCCTTTTGGGATTGGGTTGTGTTTGTTTGCCCTAGCTTAGCGCGTTTTTCTGGGACCCAAATTTGACCCCTGGTTGATGAACAGAGTCGCATTTTTTTGGGATTCGGATGCAGTTGCCATTGCACCCGCTTGATCCATCGATCATTTGATTCACATGGGGACAGCCTCAAAACTTCCCATGGTTGATCTATCGGGGCTTTGGAAGGCGATCTCGCCATGGAGAAGCCCAAGAGACCGTCCACTGTCATTGCTGGAAAGACACGGAAATCAGACTGTTGGGGAATTCCACACAAGTTTCCCAACCAGCAACTCTGATTCATGTTCTGCAGTCAGATTGAACTTCCGGTTCGCTTGAGCATCCAGGTTGCGAAGATGACGGAATGACCTCCAAGGATAAAGATCTTGGTTTACCTGGCAACCTTGCTTTTTCAAGTCAGGGCAAGAAGGAGCCCTTCTTGAAATCCAATGGAAACCTATAAGGAGATCGAGGCGTGTCCGGTGTTTATTTGCTTTTGGTTTCGGGTGCGCCGGATGCTGTTTTGCCATCAGCTTCCTTCTCATTGGTGGGTTGGGGGCGTGGTGAACGAGGGGTTCAATTCCCCAACCACCAATCGCAGCGACCAATTGAGGGGAACCTGATTTGAAGGGGGGGATTCTGTTTGAGGCGAAGGGCAACTGGTTCCCCATTTGTCTGGCGGCTTCCAGATATTTTGCCACGTTTTTCCTTCAGCATTCTGACTTGGCGTTGCATGCCATTTTCCCCTAGATGCGTGAGGTTTGCAAGGGCTAAAATGTTTCCCCTCAAAACCAATCAAAAGTGTACCAACCAACCATCGCAACCAACCATAAAATATAGCAACCCCAAAGATGTGTTCCCTTTTTCGCCACAATTCCACCGGGAGAGGAGACACAAGGCTTTCCACACAAGAGGTGCCCCTTGAACGGGATATTCCTGGAATGTGTTGGGTTTCCGGTTGGGAAACCCCAACAAAGAACCCCCCCATACCGAGCCAACAAAAACCGACCCATCCATTCTGGCCGGCGCAGGCTTGTCTGGTGTGAGAGGACCTATGTCTAAACATTTGGATCTCGTCACGCCAAAGTGGCAGAGAGTTCTATCATCAGGACTCCTGCAAAAGATTGCTTTGGCCTTAAGTAGCAGTTGCCGTGATCCCTGATCAAGATGCCAATTGTCAAGACAGAAGCCACAGCCCGGAAAAACAAAAAAAAACACCGGCCATGTGCCTCCTTGGAACTGCTTTTCTGGCGCTGTTTCACCTGTCTCACACGCGAATTTGGGCGCTCGAGTCGTGGTTGAGTCGGCGAGCCGGGCGCTTAAATGCCTCAACTTGTACGATGGATTGCACTCCTCCCCTTCAAATTAATACGGGTGTTTTTTTCTTTTCGAGGGTACCCCGTCTTGGGAGGTTTTGAAGGGACACCGGAAAACCACCATGTATGGGGTCCCCCTAGTTTTAAGACACGCCTACCCCCCAAAAGAAGGTCCTCCAATGATGGGTTTTAGGGCTTCAAGTGAGCCAGGGCAGTTCTCTTCAGGCCATTTGCTAAGCGAATCGACCGTATCAGGGTGCTCCCCTTTTTGGTCGGATGTCCCAAAACTTCCGCACAAAGGAACCGACGCAACGATGCTTCGAGTGTCTGAAACGTGGTAAAAGTCTTGGCACAATCTAGTTTTGCTTCCAACTGATTGCGGATGGCGCTTAGACAACCAACAATTCATTGTATGTCAGACATGTGAGGGCATCCAAATAGGGAAACATCGCCTTTGGGACGGCTTTTGAAGGGCATCCCGAAAGCACCGACCAGTTGTTAGGGTCCCGTGTTTTGGGACAGGCCCAAATGTTTATTTGTCTCGCAGCATCGCCTTAGACAGTTTGAATTGAGTTTCCGTCTTGGGCCGTGTCAGAAAAAAAACAATGATGCCCAGTGAATTTAACTTTCTTCTGTTTGGGTAAGGGGTTTTCCATTAAGATCAACCAACCCCAAATGATGCCCGTTTTTCCTGTGGTAATCCAGCGGGCTTCATTGTGTCCCCAAGCGCCCTTGATGTCAAAATGTGGTCTCCCAACGCCGATTCAGTCAAGACATCCTGATGGTCCATTTGGGGTTTGGGACAGCGACACGCAATCCAGGACACATATCCTATCCCGGGTCAAACGTTTCGACCGTGGGCCTTGGGTTGCCGCAGCAGACATGCCGGGCTTGGCTCACAAGGGCGGGTTGACGCAACTCAAACCTCCAAGGGGCCTGAGGCCCTCATAGGATCTCATAAGTCCATCGCTTGAACCCCATAAATTTTAGAACCTGAGCTGGCTTCCCCTACAGGAAGCCACACCCGCAACCAACATTTACCCTCAGAACAAGTCATTTCAGCCACCTTCCTATGAATTAGGCCAAGCCTGAAGACGCTTTTCTGCCTTCTGGGCTGTTCAAAGGCAGGGATTCCAACAGATTGGCCCGGCCAACTACCCCCACCCACTCGTCCGGTCCTCCAACACACAAATAACATCACATCAAGAGAATATCAGGTTTTTCGTTGCTTTTGACAGGTAGGACCTTTCTTTGCCAAAGGAAAACCATTTCTTACTGACCAAGTCACAGGGAGCCTGGGGCGAAAAACCGCAAGATGCGACATGGCCGAGCTGCTGGAAATCGACCTTGAGGATTCGACGCTGACGCGTACGGGTGCATGTTGATGGCTTGTGCGCAGTGCTGTGGGTGGCTCATCTTTTTTGAACTTGGTACCTTGTATTTGTGTTTTAAGGGGAAACAGAAGGAATACCACCCTCTTTTTTTTTTTTGGGGGGGGGGGGGGGGGAAAGAAGCGCCCGTGTGTTTTTCGCATCCGAAAGGAGCCCATTCGTTAGAACCTTCTTTTTTGGTCACCCAAATATAGAATGCCCGGATCTTCCAAATCATGGAATTTTAACGTAACATCCGGAAACTACCAGTGCCTTTTAAGGGTCTCTGTGAAAAAAATGCAGTTGTCAAACTCCTGGTTTGTGAGGTAAAACTCCTAGACATTGACTGTCACTGCAAATTGTTGTGCACACCAGAAACTGCTAGAAATCCCAATGATTCAGTACTTGACGGAAGGAGCCCTCCAATTCGACATATTCTGAATTCGAATATTGCACATGAATCAGAATCAGCTATTCTGAATTCCGAATTATTCAGACTTCGGAATTATTCAAAATTTGCGCCTTTGGGTGACAAATTGGCAAAACCGGAAAGCACCACACCTGAAACTCAGCACAAGCAACCGGCAAAAAGCCAGCAAACTCCAACAAAAACTGCAAACTTCCGCAAAGCAAAGAAAGACAGAGTTTCCGGAGAGTGCGTTTTTCAGTAAAAGCAGTGGAATATCCACTCGAGTGCACGGAGTTTCGTAGTTGCTGGGATAGGGTACAGGGTTGTATAGTTGCGGGCCCAAACAACAAGCAAAGAAACTGTTTCCAATTCCAAGAACCACTGCTAGTTAATTTCACCCCTGCCTTTTGCAAGCCACTCCTGCTGTTTGATTCAGCGTTTGCAGCACCTGAAACTTTTAGTTTTCAGAGGGTCTCCTGGAAATAACGTGGAGAGCGGAAAAAAAAAGCAGAGAAAGAACCCGGAGGCGGAGGACCCAGCTAAGAGAAGTCAGCTCATGGCAACGGGACAGGCTCCGAAAACTTGCGCAAGCAACGTGTTTGGCATTTCCCGTGTCGGGTTTCCATAGACGAGCTCTTCACAGGGTCCACCTGTCGTTTTCAGGCCATTGGATTTGTTGCGAGTGGTCCTGCTTTGTGGGGCCCTTTTTGGTGTGGGGGGGTTGAACATGGGGGAAACCAAAGGAATTCCACCTTTTTTGGGGGGCGTTCTTAGCTTGGAGCCCAAGTTGGATCGAGTTCCGAAGCCTGAAATGTCAATCCTGGACCCAGCAGCGTGAGGCTAGGTGTTCCCTGTGTCTTTTTGAGGGGACTCTTTGAGGGAACTGCGGACTAGGAGAGCCCAAAGAACCACAAATTGTGGGGGAGGGGGAATCTTGCGACAACCCACACGCGTGTGTATTTTGGAAATCAATTCTGCGTTTTCAGGGGTTTAATAAGCCTTTGTTCAAGCCGCAATCCGCACTTCAAAGGTCCAAAATGACCGTTTCCCGCACCAGACCACCTGCAAAACTTTGAGACCAGCCCAAAGTAACTTGCAAAACTTGGACTTTTCATGAGAAGTGGCCATGTGAAAAATTGTGTTTTTCTTGGTCATGGATCTTGAAGGACGAAAGAAACTACGTTCCCTTGGGATTGGTTGGGGAAACCGCCGGGAACACCGCAATGTGTGGGGTTCAGCCACGCCGAAACCTGTTCCACCATCCTTTCAGTGGGCAGAGGTCAAGGGCAAAGATGTCTCCGATGGTACCAAGCATTGCTGCGGTCCTCACAAGGGTGGAAACTTGAAGCCCTGGTAAAGCAAAGCCATAGGAAAGCAAGCCAGATTTCGGCGCGTAGAAACCTTGCACACACCTCCCATTGCGAAAAGCTTGGCTCGCCCTTCCATACGTTATTTCCCTTGTAGCCTTGAGGGACAGGGACGAAGCATGCGCGGAAAGTCCTGTACCCCCCCTTCAATATCGTGCCTACTGATCTCAATGACCAACATAAGATTCTCATTCCCATGACTTTGTTATCAGTTGAAAGGGGATCCCCGAGTCACAGAAGTGAGCTCCTTTTTCACCATGTGTTCCGCCACCACGACGTATCTCACTTTATGTGCCCGCTTTTTGTGCCCTTTGAAATCCCACTATACCAAAAAAACGCCTGTCATTCCCCCGAGCTCCAGCAGAGGGTCTGGGGATGGATTGGGTGGATCAAAATGCGAGCGGACAGGAGGATGACGTCCAGCTTCAAGAGCAGCCAATACCTTGGCTCGCGATTTTTGTGGCTGCGGTGCGACCCCTTGTTTAACTCGCTGCGCCCAAATTTCCCACAAGGGCCATGTTTAGGCGGTTCTACTGCCTGGTTTGATCTGGGTGACAGCAAGGCCGACAAGGGCACCTTTTATGTCCAGGTCCGACAAGGGCAACAAATACCACGCTTTCAACCAGCAACGTCCTTGGATTCGGTTCCAACTTTAGAGGGGCCTAGGGCTGGGGAGAAGGCCTCGACTCAAATCTACTCCGTTACCTGGCATCGGCCTCTTCCAGAGGAGGTCGACCTTGCATCCTCCAGCTGCTATGGTAGTGGGAGCTTTTGGGGGGAACACTTCTTTGAGTCTGGCAGGGGTTGGGAGCAGTCAAGACTCGGTGTCAGGGGCCCAGTTTTTGTTTAACGAGAAGAGGCCATTGTTCAAAAGGAAACCAGTGCGTGGTTTGCTTGACCTGTTTGTTACCTTCCAGTGGAGCCAAATTGCAATTCATTCATATACAGGTCAACAGACCCGGGATCATGTATATACATAATTATAAGTATGTACGTATCATGTACATACATGTTATATGCATGTATACACTATGCTATATATATATATACATATATATATATATATATTATGCATACACATATGTACCTGCTCTATCTATGTTACTCCGGTTGACCCGTTGCTATTTTACTCCGGTTGACCCGTTGATGTCCGCAGCATGTTTCTCTCAAATGCGACAGCTTGGTTTTGATCGACTTGTGTACAGTATGCATGCATGATCAGTGTTCCAGCTACCACGATAGTAAAGCCCAAGGCAAACACGTACACCAGGATGAAAGTAGATGGCAAAACTGCACAATTCACTTTGTGCGGAAAAGTAACAGAGATGATGGAAGTAACAAGCGCCATCGTTGATTGTCCCCACTGTATGTATGCATATATATATATATTAGAGACACACAGAGACAGACAGAGAGAGAGAGAGAGACAAAGAGAAAGCAACAATGACCATGGCTCGCTCTTTGTCTGGGGGTGGCGGTTGACCATGGCATATATATGTACATATATATATATATATGTACAGCACCGCTACATCGAAAACACCAGATCCAGATCGAGAGCTCAGGCTCTTTCAGCTCCTGGCACCTTCGCGGAAGGCGGAGCTTGAGGGGCCAGGCCAGTCCGGTAGTCGGATTGCGCTGAGCCTCCGTGTGACACGGCCAGCTGTGTTTAAAGGGGTTGGGGACGCAAGGTCAAACATTATGTTATCCCTTGCACCAATCTGTGCCCATGTCGCTCGTGCCACGTGTCTTCTGAGGCCGAATTCCCCCGTTCTGGCCAACTGTAAAGTAAACGACGCGTCATCAACGCTCACGCCGGCGAGCTTTGTACAAAGGAAAGCATGTGAGCTGAGGACATGGAGCGAGGAGCCCAAATCCATGCAGACATGATCTCCCAGCATTGAAGTTGGCCAGCCCTCACAAGCTGCTGCTGCAGTACCACAAGGACATGTGCGCAACATATGAGCACAGGCAGGATTTGTTGTCAAGCCCAAAATCTCTGACTCCCATGTCGGCCAGCATAAAATAGGTAAAAGCTGGCCTCCTTTGCTTTTTGCGTGGGCAAACTTGCCCTTTTGCAACCGAGGATCAAAGGTTTGTTTGGGACCACAAGGCAGGTGTGTAGCTCTGATTCCCTCCCTGTCGGCCGGTCCAAAGGAGTCGGAAAGAGCCACCCGCTGCCCAAAAATTAGACCCCTGACGCCCCAGGCCTGGAGGAAACTAGCTGCAGGCATTCCATGACCCTCAATGGTTGGCCTTGGGTTATACTGGTGAGTAGCTTGTCACCATCAAGTTACAATGGCTCCTTTTGCTTTGAATCAGGAAATGGATAGTATAGGTTCCCCGGATATTCCACGTGGACCCTAGAGGTAAGAAACCCTGCCCAGTGGCACGGGAAGCGCTGGGAATTTTTCGGGGCTAAATGCTTACCTTCCATCATGCTATATTTGGCTTTAAACTGCACCACCATATTCCGATGATTCACGCCTTGAGATAAATTTAAGGCAATATCACTTGGGAGTAAAGCGAGTTAAAGCCCATGATGAAGGTCCCTTACTTGGGCAGTTTTGCTCACGTGTTCAGAATTATTGGGCAAACATGTTTTTAACGTAGGCCGCAACTCAGTTCTGACAATTTAGGCCCAAGGTTGCAAATCGTTTGTCCCCAACAGCTGAAAGCTTTGGGGTCTCAGCCCAGATAGGCTCCGGGGTGGTCCGGGGCGGCCCTGAGGTAAGGTTGCACGAGGGTTCCACCAGGGTTCCACCAGGGTTCCACCAGGGTTATATCCCCAACAGCATGCGGTGCTCTTTTTAGTGCTCGCACCACCCCGCAGCCCTCGCAGAACCTCGTGGAACCCTCGTGGAACCCTGGTTGGTGAAGCCCTCGTGGAACCTTACCTCAGAGCCGCCCCGGACCACCCCGGAGCCGATCTGGGCTGAGACCCCAAAGCTTTCAGCTGCTGGGGAAACACAATTGAACACATCCGCAAGGCTGTCCCCAGAAGACGGGGTTCCTCTAAAAGGGGCCTGTTGCATGTTGGTGGGGGTGCTGGTGCCTTGATTGGGGCTCGTTGCCCAGGGAAGACGCGACCCGAAGTTACACATGTCCATTTTAGCAGCACCGTGTTTTGACCATGTCTCGGAAACAGAGAAGGACATCAGCAACCCAGTCCGGGACTCCTTGATTTCCCTTTGGTTTTAGAGGGAGATGGTAGTGGCAGCACATATGTTCTTATTTGGCAGCTCAGGCAAGAGTAGGTTGGTGTTGGGTTGCATAGACCCCGCGGAAATAAATCGAAGCAGATACCCCCCCCCATGCATCCAGACGCTGACACGCACGAGCCTGGAAGCCTCCCATCCGGTCCACGTGGAGTATGACAAATATTCCTTTCCCAGACCTCCGGTTTTCAACTTGTTTTCCAGGGGGGGGACCCCTTTAATGATTTTAAATTAAATTCACCCAACAAAAAGGAGGGTGCCAACTCTTGTTCTCATGGCCACTGGGGGTGTGGGTTTAGAATAGATTCGTCTCAGCTGGGTTCACCTGTTGCTTTCCTGAAAATTCAGCAGTGCAGCTGGGGGACGAGCCACCAAATCTTCATTGGGCGCTTCGCTGATGGTTCCCGTTGCTCCCAGAAAGAACCTGGAACAAGCAGCAAAGAAGGAGCAAACTAGCACTAGTTGTGGGGTGAACGAGGTCAGCTGGTTAGGCCATACACTTCCATTTGCTTAAGAATATGCTTTTATTTTCCCTTGTTGGTTTTAAAGGGAATCTATCACTACTGGAAATATGCTCTTTTTTTTTGCCAGGGGTCTTAACCAAATGGAAGTCCAGGAGCATGACCCAAAGAACTTGCGACGGCAGGTGAGGAGCCGGAGCCGGCCCTGCCAAGCCCCCAGGTTGGGAGCGTGAATTGAGTGGAGTTGCATCCAAGTTCGACGAGACTAGACGGGTGTCTCCTTTTTCAAGGAGTCGGACCCCTCAAAATGGTGGGTTGTCCGGGTTTCCCTGTACAGCCACAAAAAAAATCGTACCCTGCAAAAGAAGACAAACTGCCGATGAATGCGGACAGGTGCCACAAGCGCACAGTTGTCCATTTTGGTCAGCGGCTGGTTGAGAATAGGGTTGGATTCGGGTTTCCAGGGGCGCTTTGGGGCGTCTACGGACCGAGGGAGGGGAGAGGTTTTATCGGGCATGCGTGGATGGTAGGGTACGCTAAGTTGAGAAAAAGCTTTTGACTCCAAAGAAATCCCACGTTGCTCCTTTGGCCATTCCAAGATGACAATGGAGTCGAAAACTGGTCAACACCGCTTCCTTACCTGCCAAAGTTCTCTGGCGACTTCGTGTCGAATGGGAGCGGCTGGTACCGTTAGCAAACTCGCCAGCGGGAGATCTCCCAACACAAGCCACTTGAAAAGGCCTGAAAGGTGATGCTCAAGACTTAAAACGAGCCATTACAGGTGACGAGCCTCAAACACTAGCTTTTGAGGGGACTACCTGTAAGGCTACCCGGCCGAAGATCTGTATCATCCCAACCTGCTCGCATCTGAACCCTCGAGACCGTCAATGGAGCGGAGCGCGCAGGGGAAACGATATGTCCGCGTGGCATTGCCAGACTTAACGGACCGGGTGGCCCTTCTGCCCTTTTGGTTTCCCTCATGTTCCCTTTCGACCAAACCTGAAGCTTTTTGGGGTAAAGAGCAGAAGCATGCCCTAGCAGTTCTTTGGGTGGGGAAAGGGAGCTGGGACCGTCAAAAGCTCCCATTTTCACTGACCATATCTCCTGAAACCTGTGGTGGGGGGGGGGGGGGGTTACCGTGTTTTGCCACCTCTGGGTTTCATGGAATGGTCCATTCAAAACGCCCCCAGGTCTGGATATCTTCAGATCTATGTTTGGTAGCATAGAGCAATTGCGTTGCTTGTGTTTGGTTTTACAAAGTCCGGGCAACGTCACGATATCTCCCAGATCAAAATGAGGCGACTGTGGCTCAGGGCCAAATCCACGGGCGGTGGGGGGGGTGGTTGGATGGCACGTATCATGTCGTTTTCACGCAGTGTTACTCCTATTTAAGTTGGTTTTTAGGGTAGTTTCCAGGCTTGCCTTTAACGTGTTTGTTTTGTGTGCTGGTGTTGAAGCGTGTAGCAATCAGGCAGACCCTCCATACTTCCCCTTTGGCTCGTTTACATATCACGTTTGGCCAAGTTGAAGTACGGCGGGTGATCTTTAAACTTGATTCCACTCCCCCCACCAAGCATCAAAGGCTGCTTGAAACGGATCAGAGGAAGTGGTTGATTAGTTGGGTGACTCCCAAGAAAAGGTCTGAGGGCTAAAAGCAATCGGACCCAGGGTAGTTGGCTCTTTGGGTTGCCCTTTATCCAAGAAACCATCCGCAGGAAACTCTCCATGAAGTTTGTCCAACCTCCTGGTGTTTGTAGGTCCTTGGCTAATTACGTGAATAATTTTTTAGATATGGCTTCCTAGACTGTTTGACGTTTGAACCGTTTGGGAACTGACTCTTTCCCGGCAAAAGGTCGTTTTGTAGCGACCTTCCGTGGGCCTTTGATCCCCGCCCACGGGCCGGGGAAAGTGTGGAGACATAGAGCTGAGGCTGGAGACTCTGGCGGAGGAGCCTCCCAGGTATGCGGGCGCAAAGGCTGGAAAGCAAGGTGGAGGGTTCCAAGCGCGATTTCGGCTTGCCCCCCTATTTGGATGTGTCTTCTTTTTTGGAGGGTGGTACCTCCTGGCCGGAGATTGTTTGTTCGTTTGTTTATTCTTTTCATTTTTTCAAATGCAGTCATTTCCCAGGATACTGTTCCTTGCACGTGTTCTGCTTTTTCGTATCTAGGTTCACTGGCATTGAACCAGCATCGTGTTTCTACCATACCCAGGTTTGGGAAGATTGACAGTTGGTTCCCACCAGCGATTGTCGCCGTGCAGGCGCCGTACTCCTTCTCAGACCTCCAGCCTTGCCATTGTTCCCTTTTTTTTTAAGGAGAGGCTTCCAGTTAACATCGGCTACCGAAGAAAGGAGTGCCGATTCTTTCTTCCCACGAACATCTATGATCATGGACACTCTGGACTGGGATGGTTGCAATGCAGGACTTGCCCCCCAAAGACAAATAGAACCATTTGTGGTGGCTTGGGATTGACTCATGGCTTTGGTAAAGTGGATATTGTTCAGAAGGTGTTGAATTTTAGAGCGTGCTCTGTCTTAGAATCAAATGAGCTGAGCTCAGCTGCTTCCACGGGATCTAGCTGCGGGACCATGAGGAAGTATTTGACGTGCAGGAACCCCGGCTGCTACCTGTTTACTTTAGCGAAAAATCGGTACTTGCACAAGGCTGCCGGGAGGCTTGGCGGCTGCCGAATCTTGCGCACACTGCAAGTGTGACAACAAGCGATCGCTTGGAGCTTCTTTTGGACGGATGGGGACTGGTTTGGGCTTCAAGTCTTCACAAGGCCACTTCACAGGGACATGGTTGAACTTTTGGGAAGGTCCATCTCACTTGTGTCCAAAAAGGCCAAGCTAGAAACATAGTCACCGTTACTACTGAGCTCAGCTACGTATTTGTACAGTACTTATATATACATATATTTTGTTTAACACATGCGAAACAGTTTCCGTCCAGTTTCATCTGAAGTTGGCCTTGAATCGTGAGCCATTGACACGGCTCGCATGGGTGTTTCTCAATATGGACTCCGTTTTGACTTTTTAAAAGGGGATCCGGGGAAAGGGAGGAAGCCACCATCTTGGTAGACCTACACAAAAAAAACACACATTTGTCCGCATCAAGGCCCATGTTTCTTTCATGGTTCCACCCCCAAATCACGAACCCCAAAGGAGCACATCAGGCACACACCCCGTTGAAAAGTGGCTAAAGAGTGGCTGTGTGTTCCGTTCAATTTCGCGGGTGCTGGCAACCAACTCAGAACCATCCCACAATGATTGCACTGGGTTTCTGGCTAAGAGTCATCAAAAAGGAAATGTCCGCACCCACACAAATTCAGAGTACTGCCCCGCGGATCAGTGTGGAACCCAAGACATCCATCCAATGGCAGAGGGGTGTCCTTGTCGGTTTTGAAAAGAGTTTCTCCTTTAGGATATGTTATCGTATTTCTTCTTCCTTGAAGCTGTAGGGAATGCCTTTAGATTTATTGCTTGGTATTTGGAGAGTGTTCGTTTTCGAGTCTTCGAACCCGGCAGTTCATTTGAAACGTTCCTCTCAGACCGCAGCCTTGCGCAGGTCGCAGAAGCCGCACCAGGCGGACTGGGGCTGAAATCAACAGGGGAAAATGTTAAAAAACTTAAGCAATTGAAAGCTACTGTTGGGAACCTCGCATGACTACACCCCTGTTGGCAGGCGTTAATTCAAAGGGAACCTGTTACTGGAAACATGTTTGCTCACGGTGGACAAGGGCAAATGAGTTTTCGGGCGATGTGTCTTCCCTTTGTCAACTTTTTGGAGGGTTCCTTTCCGAAACAGCCACCAAGCAACAAGTGCTTTGTGGCTTATGGGCTCAAAGGGAAGCCAAACGGAAACCCACGATTTTGGGTCCGGATCCGAAAACACACACGCACACACACACACACACAATTGGACAGCCCTTGCTGTCGCAGCTGCGGCCGCACTTTGCGAGCAGCACGCATGGGGCCCCCGTCGCCTTGTACGGGCTCTTGCTTTGAAGGGCAACCGAAGCAGCCCCTTCCATTTTGAGTGGTGACTGAATTTTGGAGAAGCTTTGAGAAACCTGGCAGGGATCCCTAAATTCTCTGTTTTTTCTTTGGCGAGCCCATGAAGGGAACCAGACATTCCCGCCCAGGGAAGGCTTCTTAGCCGGGCCATGGGGCCCGCTTTCAGCCGCTGTGTGGGGCCTGGGATTGGTTGGGTTGTAGGGTGGGTCCCATTTTGGAGGGGATGCCTCACTTTGGGAGAAACACTCACATGAGGAATGATATGAATATGTTTAGTAATACTAAAAAGAGAACATGATAGTAATTAGAGCAATAATCATGATGATCATGATGATCATTTTCATGACACAAACATCACATGAAGAATGAGAATAACCAATGGTGTGTCATAAGCATCCATTTGATTCATTATAAGCCAGCATTTGCTGCCCCGTGCTTCTCGCGCAGGGGCCCCTCAGGCGTGGATCGGGGTGTGGGGGCAGAAATTGGTTTGGGGCCCCGTGGTTTGGAGCCCGCTGTGCCCGGTGTTCTGAAAGTGGCCTTCCCATCCTGCAAGACAATCCAAACCACCAATCCAGGGCACCAATCCAGGGCAACCTGGGTTTCAGCTCGGCGAATCATCCTGTCTTTCCGCTGACCAAGGAGACTGGGGAAAGATGAACAGGCTCGCAAGAGTACCACCTTGGCCGACCATGCTGCATGCAAGAATTGAATTGCTTCTGTCTTCCCAAAGCTCTGGGGTGGTTCAGAGCAGTTTTCAGGGAGGGCTCCGGAAGGTTTCCAGCCGAGTTCCGGGGCTGTTGGGGATACAACCTGGGTTTGTTTGCTCATTTGGCTTTGTCGGCCCATTGGAGGAATCGCACGCCACCTCAGGGCACAATTGTTCTTGATAACCCTTGTACCCGTTGTGATGTGTTGGGGCTTTGCTATGCAGGGCCAGCGCTACGCTGCGCTGAAATGTTTGAAGCCAACGCCAGCCCTTTGCAAAAACTTCTTCCAGAGCCACGCCGCTGACCTTGTCCAACATCTTGGGACAAGCCCAATCTGTTTTTTGGGACATTATGGGACGGGCCAGTGGTTTTGACACGCTGAGGCTGGCTTATGATTTTGCGGAAATATGCTGTTATTTTTATTTGTGCAACACCGAGAAAGGAAGGTTGGCCCCCCTGGCGCCCGTGCTGCTGGTTTGCAGTGGGCGGCCGTGGGCAAAGCGGTCATCAACCATTTAGTCAACTCGTCATTTGCAAAGCCCCCGCCCACTGGGGGTTTGTCTCGCTCGGCTGTTGTTTGAACAGTAGGGACTTATGCAATCACAGGAAAGGTTCCATTTTTGCACGGTTTTCGAGCACCGTGACACTGGTGGATTCGAGCAAATCTGAGAGTAATCTCGCTCTGAAACCCCAGACCTGCAGTGCTCATCTTTTTTGCTTTTCAGGGTTTCCCTATACAAGCCATACAACAAAAGGCGCCTTTTTTCCGGCCGCTTTTCAAAGACAGACCGTATTTTTCGTCACTTTAGTGTCTTCGAGCATGTTGGTTGGAAAACCTGAGGGAAAGAAAAGGGGGCGGTCATGAGTCATCGGCACTCCGCGAGTGTTTTAAACGGAGGGCACAAGAGTACCACCCGGGAAACCGTGGCACGTTTGTTGGGGGGGGAGAAGGCGGTTGAAGTCCCGAGCAGGCAGAGGCCTCCACTCTGGAAGTTGGAGTTGTGGTGCCGGCGCATTGGCGAGATTCGCGTGTCGGGCATGTCATACAGGTTGCCTTATGAGTTCATAAGACGGGAAGATAAACATAGTCAGGGTTGTGCATTAGTCTTGCATGGTTGTGTCAGCCACAACCCATACTTCAACCCAAACTAAACTGCCTTTAGAGCACAAAACACAAAACAGTTACGCACCGCGTCGCCGGGATGTTCAATTCCCGAGTTGGGAATCCCGTCCCTTTGAAGGCGCTTTTTTGTTGCTCTGGTCTGGTGCCCTTTGTTATACTGGGATTCGGTGACCATGGATCCGCTTGGTCTTGAAAATGATCTGGGCCCCTAAAAGTGGTTGGCACCCCTGTAAAGCAACCCTCTAGGTGAGCCTCAAAAAAGACACCCTCATTTAGCTTGGTTTTATGTCAATTTGCTTTGTGCCAAGCTTGTCCACGCAACTGTAGTGCAACTTTGTCACTCAGGAAACAGTGGCCAGAACTATTGCAGGCCGTCAATCCGGAAAAGCTATGCTTTTCGAACGTGCGACTCTTTGTGTGGATTTCGTTCAAAAGCGCGCTTCGCCAGACCCTGGAGAGACTGCCCACCGAAGAAGGTGGCCGGGCCGTCCCAGTTCAGTGAGCTCCAGACTGGGCTTCCACTTGCCACCCACCCCCAAACAGGCCTTTTGATGCAGCTTCCCCCCCAAATGAGGCCAGGCCCTGGCAATGGGTGGCTTTTTCTGTCTCAACCAGGAGTTCGTCCATCAGTCTGCGACTTCAGGAGATTGGGCTTGGAGACACATGATGTGTGTAGCTTTGTTAGAGGGTTCCCTTTTTTGAGTTGGTTTTGAAGAGACGCCAAAAGGAAAACCACCAGTTTGGGGGTCCCCTAAAACAAGACACACCTACATGGGTGTTTCTTATTCAGGAGACGCCTTTTTGGTCGATTTGAAAGGGAAGCCAGAAAACAAACCTAATTTCAACACACACGCATATCCCACTAAAAGTTTCGTTCAGCTTTTACATAAAAAACAAAAAATCGGTTCCCGCCCCCAATCCAGGGACTCTCACAAATGTTGAGACACTACATAGGAAATTATAGGAAGCACCCTTGTCCCGCACACAACAACAAGGCAAAAGGTACTCACCCAAAGGTGTTTTGCAGGTTTGATACTGAGCGATCTTGACAAATGGGTATGTTTCTGTTTTTCAATAATTGGGGGACCCTTGGGTGACATTCGCATGGACTTGTATGCATCAACCGTGTCTATTGTTGGGAGCGAAAGCCATGGTTGTTGAGTTGCCAACATTGAACACTTTGTTTTTGTGTCAGCCCAGACCTCCAGCGATCCGGGGGGGGTCCCCTCAAAATCAACCAGCAACAAACGAGAGTGTGGCCGGAAGAGTTTGAGCAACCCAGCCGGGCATTCCTGAATCCCCTCAGGCAGATGCACACCTAGTTCCTGAAAAGGGCAGCAGTTTGGAGCCTGTGGCAGGCTTTCCTGTAATTTCACTCATAATTCGTGATTCATGGAACTGATACCCTGAAAAGGTCTTAGGCATTTGGATTGGGAGGTTCCTTTCTGAGGGCATCCACAGATTCCGCACGCCCGGGGGAACTGGTCCGCCCTCCTGCGAGCTGTGAGGCGAGGATAGTGACACTGAGCCGACTGCCTCAGAGGCGCGACGTTGGGGCCGTTTCCGGGATCCCATCCTTTAGCTCCTTCACGGCTTCCGCATTGGTCAACTGAGCTGCAACAAGCAACTGTCGCAATTTCGGAAGTTGGAAACTAGTGTCATTTGCAGCCAACAAGGTTCAGGATGACTTTTCTTGCAAGTTGGCGTTGCAGTATGGACAAAAGAACCAAGAAGCCCCGGCGCCTCGCTTCAGCCTTTTGGAGGACAACGACTTCTCCGATCCCATGGAGGACCTCGAGGAGCAGGCCGGGGGGATTCCGTGAGTATGGCTGGGCGCAAAAATTGGAGGATTCCCCTAAGTGGGAAGGTTGAAGCGCGAGCATATCTCTGGCAATTTGGATTGGTCAATTCGGGCGCTTGAACTTGGAGACAAGAGATATGGACAAAGTAAGGTTTTGTAGGCGGCCATGTTCGTTTTCCTGAACCTTCACGAAATTTGGCTCCTAAACTCTCGGCCTTCGCGGGGCTGGTTCGGACGGCCAGGCAGAAGAAGATGCGCTGGACGAGGTCGGGCAGTACGTAGGCCAAGAGCCGGTCTGATGAGGGACCTCTCCATGGCTGTGGGTCAAAACCATTTTGGGGTCGCTGCACCACCCATTTTAGAACCTGTTTTAGTGGTTGGATTGGGATGTTCACTGGGGGTACGGGATGTTGACCCATATGGCCCCTTAATGTTTTTTGAAGGTTGGGTTTGAACTTTAGAGCCTCCGGCTCAGTCCGCCGACATTGGCATCTAGCTTGTCTCCTTCTTCCTCTCGCCCGTGTCCCCCTAGTATGCTCTTCTGTCCTCTCTGGTTCCCCCATGGAAATTGGGGGGAAATTGGTGCCAATTGTCAAGGAAATCAGAAAACACAATGTTTTTTTCAATGGTGTCAGCAAAGGAAAAACACCGAACACCGTGTGTCTCAAAGTTTTCCGCAAAAGGCAGCACAAAACCTCAGCCGGCAGAAAGAGGCGGCGGGAGGATTCGAGCCTGGGACCCCCGTTTCTCCAGACCCGCTCCCCGAAGACTACGTTTAGTGGAACGTCATCAAATTGCCGCGCGGTACGCGGGGGAGGGGGGGGGGGGGGCTGGGGGAGGGGGGGAGGGGGGGGGGGGAGGGGGGGGGAGACAGTCCGGGGGGGGGGGGGTGGCGACCGAAAAACCATGCGTATTTGACGTGTCCCGGTGGGGGACTAAGGGGGGGGTTATCCTCTATCCTCTCTTAGGTATCCAATAGTCCTCTCTTAGGTATCCGACACGCCGAACAATGTCGGCGGACATCACCTGTGGGAAAACTGAACGTCCTCTGTTGGCGGGTGATGGTTGAAGAGAAGCAGAGGTATCCATGTGAGGGATCAATCAGGGAAACCCCTGCCATAACAGGACACCCCTTCATGGTTCATGCGTCGTCAATATTACTCCAGAATCCAGATCAAGGATGTTGGCCCATGCTGAGTCTAAAGAGGCCTTATGCACCATGTATTAAGACTTTTCAAAGGGGAGCCACTATGTCACTTGTCCACTCTAGCCTCCTATTGATATAAGAGACGGACAATCATCCGCCACATGCAAAGTGGAAGTGACGTTTAGCTGTAAAAGTTGATTGTCCCGTGACCAAGGGATCCTTTCGTCTTTGGGATTCCCAATGCCAAGGAATGACCTGGCAGATAAGAGTTGGTCTCAAAATAGTGATATTCGCTCCAACATGGTTTCAAAAAGGGTTTCCTCAAAGCCATACCCATTTGAGCGGACCCACTTTGGAACCCTTGATAGATACGTGCCGCTTGTCCATCGGAAGGATTCCAACATATCCATCTTGAGTATGGGAAGGGGTCACCATGTCCATCGATGGCTGCTGAAACGATGAAGGTACCCTCCTTCCAACATGGACATGGACGGGAGGAATTTGAAGACCATTTATTTCTTGAACAGGCCGTAGTCCGCATTGAGTATTGGGGAGGGATGGAACACATGTGCTTTCTGGCCTGCCTGATTTGGGGGCAAGTCTCACCCACCCTCTAAAGATAGAGCTGTTCCTGAACCCAACCAGCCCCCATTCACACCAACCCAGTCTTGGAGTATTTGAGTCTTCGCCAAGGGTTCCCAAAAGATACCTCCGAAAAATCGAAGGGGGCCGGTTAAATCAGCAGGGAAATATGGTTTTTCATGGTCATCTGCCTGATGTGGATCAACTTTGTACAGGCTGTGCAGGTCCATATTGGGGAAGGGTGTCAAAACAGAGGTATTTCCTGGAAGATCCCAAATAGCTTCTGTCGGCTTTTGTTCAGACTTGCTGGTGCTCAGTATGGAATGAGAAATGGAATGACCCTTATCAACCATCCAACTGGTGGTTTCCTTGAAGGGGAATTGTGGGTTCATTCCCACATTCCCTACCCAGACCCACCATTAGACACCCCAAGGGGTGTTGTGGTCCCAAAACCTGGCGGTTCGAGGGCCCAAAATGAATCGGGAGCGTCTGGGTACTCATCGCAGCAAGGAGAAACCTGGGCGGTTTCTCCGCTACGCAGGATGCCATGGCAAAGCCTGTGGAGGTGCCGCCCAGACAGGCGCTGCAGCGAATCGACTCAGCCAGGAGTGGGTTTGGAGAGAATGGGTACGTCTAGGGAACCCATGGAGATCAGTTTTAACTCACACTGAGTTTTGGACTTGTTTCTTTTTGGAAGGACCATTGAAGTGGCAAGCAATATTGTTGGTTACTGGTTACTGTTTGGGTGGCCAATCCACGGAAGTTATGGAAACCAAAGGGAAGGCGGCTTCTTTTAAGCGTCAGGCCCCCACTGCGAATTTCAGCTTCACGAATGTAGGCGTCGAATCCCAGCAGCAGCCACATTTGCAGCTTCAGCCGCCCGGAAACCACAGTTTGTACCGAACAGAAGCGTCGGGCCGAATTTAGGTGTCAAGCCGCGAACTTCAGTTCACGAACTCATGCGTCAAATTTCAGCGTCAGCCGCATTTTCAGCTGCACCTGCCTTGGCAGCCCAAATGTCAGAGTCGAACTTAAGCGTCAGCAAACTTCAGCATCAAAGGGGACTCAAAGCGCCGGAGAAATCGGCCGCATCAACCTCAGCTTCAAACATCAACGGGGGTGCAAAAAGGGGACCCAGCTTCCCGAATTCCTGCAGGTTGGCATAAGAGCCGCTAAGTAGTGCGAATGGGGTTGGGTACTTTAAATACCATAGTCACGATTAGCGGGGTACACTATTTGTAGCTATTTTGCCTGTTATACTATTTCCCACGTTAATACTCTGGGTTGCGGGGAGTTGTTTTTTGTCGGGGATTAACTTAATCCCCGACAAAAAACAACTCCCCGCAACCCAGAGGGCTAATTGTTTAGCCCTCTGGATGTGTTTCTTTGAGGGTACCCTTTTTGGGCTGGCTTCAAAGGCAAACCAAGAGGAAATCACCCATTTGTGGGGTTCGCCTATTGCAAGTGAAACCAGCCAGAATAGCGCCGCTTTCGGGGCGTGAGTTGTTTCGCTCTTTGCTAGGATGATGTGTCGGGTTACTGACCATTGCAGTAGCTGGATGCGCTCGGTTACACATATATATGAGCCACGGACAAAACACACGAAGACCACTTTATCAAGGCCGGGTACGTTTTTGCATAACACATGCCGAAACCATGCAAAACGATAAGGTCTCCCCCAAAAACGATAACCCTTGGCTAACACACGGCTCTATAATAACCCCTGCAGTTGCAACTTAGCTAGGGTGGGACCCTTGCGTGGCCACCGTAAAACGAGAAGGCGAGTCGCCACTTTCGAGCTGGAGCTGCCAAGGTGTGCTTCGTAAATACAACACTTGTACTGAGAAGTTGCGATTTTCGAGCTGGAGATGCGGAAGTGTACTTCGTGTACTAGACTTGTACTACAAAGTTGCGACTTTCGAGCTGGAGCTGCGGAAGTGTACTTTACGTGCTAGACTTGTACTACAAAGTTGCGATTTTCGAGCTGGAGCTGCGGAACTGTACTTCCCGTACTAGACTTGCACTACAAAGTTGCGATTTTCGAGCGGGAGATGCGGAAGTGTACTTTGCGTACTAGACTTGTACTACAAAGTTGCGATTTTCAAGCTGGAGCGCTGTGGAAGTGTACTTCCTGTACTAGACTTGTACTACAAAGTTGCGATTTTCGAGCTGGAGCTGCGGAAGTCTACTTCCGGTACTAGACTTGTGCTACAAAGTTTCGATTTTCGAGCTGGAGCTGCGGAAGTGTACTTCGCGTACTAGACTTGTACTACAAGGTTGCGATTTTCGAGCTGGAGCGCTGTGGAAGTGTACTTCCCGTACTAGACTTGTACTACAAAGTTGCGATTTTCGAGCTGGAGCTGCGGAAGTGTACTTCGCATACTAGACTTGTACTACAAAGTTGCGACTTTCGAGCTGGAGCTGCGGAAGTGTACTTTGCGTACTAGACTTGTACTACAAAGTTGCGATTTTCGAGCTGGAGATGCGGAAGTGTACTTCGCTTACTAGACTTGTGCTACAAAGTAGCGATTTTCGAGCTGGAGCTGCGGAAGTGTACTTCGTGTATTAGACTTGTTCTACAAAGTTGCGATTTTCGAGCTGGAGCTGCGGAAGTGTACTTTGCGTACTAGACTTGTACTACAAAGTTGCGATTCTCGAGCTGGAGCTGATGAACTGTACTTCGCGTACTAGACTTGTACTACAAAGTTTCGATTTTCGAGCGGAGATGCGGAAGTGTACTTCGCGTACTGGACTTGTACTACAAAGTTGCGATTTTCAAGCTGGAGCGCTGTGGAAGTGTACTTCCCGTACTAGACTTGTACTACAAAGTTGCGATTTTCGAGCTGGAGCTGCGGAAGTGTACTTCGCATACTAGACTTGTACTACAAATCTTGCGACTTTCGAGCTGGAGCTGAGACTTGTACTACAAAGTTGCGATTTTCGAGCTGGAGCTGCGGAAGTGTACTTCGCTTACTAGACTTGTGTTGCGTCGAGCTGGAGCTGCGGAAGTGTACTTCGCGTACTAGACTTGTACTACAAAGTTGCGATTTTCGAGCTGGAGCTGCGGAAGTGTACTTCGCGTACTAGACTTGTACTACAAAGTTGCGATTTTCGAGCTGGAGCTGCGGAAGTGTACTTCGCGTACTAGACTTGTACTACAAAGTTGCGACTTTCGAGCTGGAGCTGCGGAAGTGTACTTCGCGTACTAGACTTGTACTACAAGTTGCGATTTTCGAGCTGGAGCGCTGTGGAAGTGTATTCCCGTACTAGACTTGTACTACAAAGTTGCGATTTTCGAGCTGGAGCGCTGTGGAAGTGTACTTCCCGTACTAGACTTGTACTACAAAGTTGCGATTTTTTCGAGCTGGACTTGCTGCGGAAGACTTTCCGTCGAGCTACACTTGTACTACCAACTTGTACTACAAAGTTGCGATTTTCGAGCTGGAGCTGCGGAAGTGAACTTCCGTACTAGACTTGTACTACAAAGTTGCGATTTTCGAGCTGGAGCTGCGGAAGTGTACTTCGCGTACTAGACTTGTACTACAAAGTTGCGATTTTCGAGCTGGAGATGCGGAAGTGTACTTCGCGTACTAGACTTGTACTACAAAGTTGCGATTTTCGAGCTGGAGCTGCGGAAGTGTACTTCGCGTACTAGACTTGTACTACAAAGTTGCGATTTTCGAGCTGGAGCTGCGGAAGTGTACTTCGCGTACTAGACTTGTACTACAAAGTTGCGATTTTCGAGCTGGAGCTGCGGAAGTGTACTTCGCGTACTAGACTTGTACTACAAAGTTGCGATTTTCGAGCTGGAGCTGCGGAAGTGTACTTCGCGTACTAGACTTGTACTACAAAGTTGCGATTTTCGAGCTGGAGCTGCGGAAGTGTACTTCGCGTACTAGACTTGTACTACAAAGTTGCGATTTTCGAGCTGGAGATGCGGAAGTGTACTTCTCGTACTAGACTTGTACTACAAAGTTGCGATTTTCGAGCTGGAGATGCGGAAGTGTACTTCGCGTACTAGATTATACTACAAAGTTGCGATTTTCGAGCCGGATCTGCCAAAGTTCGAAAACACTGTAAAACGATAAGGTCTCCCCCAAAAACGATAACGTTCAAAAAAGTACTAGGGCCAAGTAAAGTGTTTCGTCCGCTCCTCATATATATATATATATACATGCATGCATGTAAATATGTATGTACATAGCTATATTGAAAACAATCACGCAAAGCAGATGTTGGACATGGTCAACCATAATGGGTCACCCATGTGTCGCACCCCCGGGACCTGACTTTGCTTCACTGGGTTGGCGTTCCTCGGGGACAAGGCCCTGCGTTGGCCTTGCCTCACCTACTTTGCTTCCTGTCGGCCGCCACGTGGCCTTGCTTCGCTCACTGTGCTTTGTGTCTTTGCTGTTTGTGGCCCCCGCCTGGCCTTGCATCGCCTACTTTGCTTTCTGTCAGTTGCCCACTTTGCCGCCTCTTGGCCGTCATGGCCTTCTGTTACCTTCGCGTGGCCTGCTTGGTTCCTGTGTGCGGTGCCGCGCTTACGTTCTTTTTGCCGGTTTTCGCGCTTGTGCTGGTCTGGGTTGCGCATGGTGTGGCGTGTGTCTTGGCTGCTTTTAGTTTCCGGCCGGCTTGAACCCCACAAGCTTCGGCCGGGGAGGAAGAGCGGGCCTGGCCTCACGAACACGCGCTGGCCACGCCGTGTGTCGCAGGGTGTTGCGGTCTTCGGCAACAAGCCAGGAGTCGGTCGGTTTGAGACGTTTCTAGATGCTTCATGGTGTTGAAAGCAAAAGGGGGTTTCCCTCAACAAAAAACATGTGGCATATGACTGCATGCACAAATACACAAACATATAATGTGCATTGCGCTTGCAGCATTGCGTCGGCAACAATGCACCGCCAGATCGTCCAGCGCGTGGCGGTCCCGTTGCCACCAACAAAGGAGCGACAGTTCGACCCTAAGCATACAGCAAACCTTCTCGAAGGCCTACTTCGGGCGATCTGGGCACATGCCCAATCACTTGTGGGATAGGACCAGGCTTCGACCTCGCGTGGGTGAGGCATGAGCGAGGCATGCGACACCCAGTTTCCCAGTTGCGTGCGTATACACAAACAAATGCATATATCCAAACCATGTGCATATAGTACATATATGACCACATATGTATATGCACATACGACACACGACGATGACGATGATGATGATGAAGGCGGTGAGGTCGATGATAATAATAAAATAATGCTGGTACTCTATATATATGTATACACATATATATATATATACACTCACACCCACATTCACCCCCTCCCAACCAACCCACGCACAGAAACAAAGCAACAAACAAGCAAACATGCAAACAAGCAAACAAACAAACAAGCAAACAAGCAAACAAACAAACAAACAAATGAGAGAAGTGCAGCGTTCTCAGCTAATTAAATCTTGCATTGCCAAGACTCTGAGCTGGGAAGAACTTTCAATTGTCAAGGGCCAAGACTTTGATCTGGCACTTCTTCCTCGATTGTTTACTTGCCCTGTCATTGAAGAGCACCCAAAACTGTCAATCTAACGATACGGGTGACCCCCTTACTTAATTTAGTATTGCCAATTCTGAATCTAGATCTAGTATCAGCAAGACCTAGTCTTACCTTGGCCAGGGCTTAGATAAACCCACCCTTCTCCACATGGGAATCTTTGTTTGGGGGGGGGTACCGAATATATATATATATATATATATACATATACATGTATGTATATATATATATATATACGGAGTATATATGCACACCTGCGCCCTCAAACCACCCATGAAAATTGGAATTCACCCCTATTTTCGGAGCAATAACCCATTATTTTTGGTAGTTTGAGGGCTGAGGTATCACATATCTGTGGTTTTGCGTGTACGCACATCCCATTTCCTGACTCGTGGAGGCCCCGAAGCCGCCGCCGCTGCCTGAAGAAGTGCAAGTCCTGAAGGACCTGCTCCAGGCGCGGCGCGTCTGCGTTTTTAGTGGCTCTCAAAGGTGAGCACCTTTGATGTCCACGTCCTTTGGGGAACTGAGAGCTAGGGCTATCCAAATTTGCCTAGGGGCCCAATCGGAGCTGCCAAGAGTTCCGACTAGGGACATGGTGATAAACTTGATGAAAAGTGGGTCACTCACTTTTTGCAAGGCGTTCTTGGTTTGACCTAGTTTTCCCAGTGCTTGCAGGCAAGCCACTAGGCCATGCTAAACAAACCTTGCCAAACCTGGCGCAACGTCCGTCCCAATGCCAAGTTGGGGGTTTTGACCATGGCACATCTGCGGAGCCAAGCATCGGACGTTGCTTGACAAACCGTGCTCGATGTGAGTCCGAGACATGGTTGATTTCCCCAAGCCAGCGGCTCACCCAAGGCTGGCTAAGGAAGGGGACATGGCCCAAAATGATTGCCAAATCGTTCAGTGGGTTTCCTGCTTGATGCGGCTAGGTGATGGGGTAGTAAACCCACAGGTAAATGGGCCAAACTAGAACAATAGCTTTACTAACGCTCGACCAAGCAGGACCCTTTTTCTCACTTGCCCAAAGCGAATTGACCTTGTGACCTTGTAGTTTCTCCTTTTTGGGCTGCCATTGTTATTGGCCCCAAAAGGCTAGCCTCTTGTCTTCCATTGTAATACCATATTTTGATTCCGACTTCAGCGACTTCTGCGTTTTGTTCCGCGTTTTGCACGCAGCCCCAAGGAAACCGTTAACCCCCCCCCCCCCCGCTTTACGCGATGCCGCTAGGTGTCGCGTGGCGCCTGCGAAGCGCCGGGGTCCGAAGCGTGCGTTTTATTATTATTTTTCTCCTCGCACGGCGGCTCAATGGCGGTGGGTCAAAAGTAGGGTAACCCCAAATTGAGACCCTGGTAAATGCAACCAAGGACTCAAACTGCGGTCCCCTTTTTTTTTTGATCCATACCCAAATTAGTGGCGGTGTATGATTGTTTTTTAGGGTGCTTGGGTGCTTGGGTGTTAGTTGCCAAGTTAGTAGCTTATTGGTAGGTTAGAGTGAATCCGCAAAGAGTGTCCCCATTTGTGTTGTTAACACTATGAATATCCATGTGCCTCTTTTGGGGTGGCTAAGGGCCAAGTTAGCAGCGTGGCAAGGGGAGCCACGGAGGGTTATGGCTCTTAATTGCCCTTCGTGGCCCTTTTGGCCACCAGTCACCAGTCACTGCTTCGTTGCAACGGCTCCTCTTGCTTTCTCTGTGAATCACTACATGACTCTTGTTCTACTCACTCTTCCCAAGCTATAGACCATGTTCAGCCATTCGCGCATCCTCGGGAAGTGGGGTCTATGGGGTTCTCAGCGAGGTAAAACGAGGTTTCGCCTGGGGTCTGCTTGGATAACAGCTCCTCTTAAGTGATGAATTGCCCTTTGTTTGAAAATATTTGTCATTTGAATTGCCCTATAGCGCATTTGAGGTTCGAATCCTTACTAGGGTTACTGAGCGACATACATAAGTCTGTGAATCTGGGGACTGATTCCTTGTTCTTGCCGTTTTAAATACATAATACTAGTTGCCTCACGAAACTTGTTTTTTTCTCGCGCTTTCTTTGAACGATTCGGTGCCATGGAAAGAATCGGGTAGCCACCTTAGAGTTGTCGTCCAACGAGTGCCTGCAAGTGTTCGGCACATGAGCCCTTGACTCCCTCAAACCTTATTTGGGGGAAGTGGAGTGAGACTTATTGCGGCTGCATTGTCACTGTGGCCATTTTGGGCTAATCATTGTTCAACTGCTATTATGCCCAATGAAAGTTTAAGCTTTGGAAAGCCAAGGTTGTTTCAACCGAACCCCACAGCATTGGACCAAACAGAAGCCCTCGCTCGGATTTCAGGTTTCACCTCACCTACCCGGACTTCCTGCGGCGGCCGGGATCCTGGCTGATGCAACGAGGTTAACTGGTGGGTAAGTGGGTGCGACTACCGACTTGTGTCAATCTTCCAGACCAAATCCATATTTGAGGTTCAGAATTAGCTGGAATGACACATCTTAGGTGTTGCGAGGAGTTTTCCGACCTCCCTTGAGCCTTCAGCATTGCATCATAATTTCACTTGGGATAATTCAAACTGTGTGGCACTTCACATAGTGTGTCTTTTTTAGGCGACCTCCCGACAAAAGAAAACACATAAACACATATGGCGATGTTCCTTTTTGGTGTGCCTATACCGGCCTATATTTCTTGCCAATGGTGACCCCGGCCGACGGGACAGTCCATTAAAGTTGGCAACCCAAAGGTGGTGCATTGACAATGCAACGAGGGACACATTAGTATGGGGACATGACCCTTTCACCCACAAAAACACTCTCCTTTTGGAAAAGGCGCGTCAACAGGGTTGTAATCAGCATGGGATGGCACCACCAAACCAAGGGTTTTGGCTTGTTTTCTTGCAGCGTGTATGTTGGATGTGCTGCTGTTGCTTGCATGTGGATTCGGAAAACAAGCTTCTTGGTAAGTGGGAGCCAACCAATTGATTATCTTTCTGACCTGCAAACTGTGGGGGCTTTCCAGACTGTACTTCGACTGCTTAGCTTGGTGCCTGCCTTTTCCCTTGCGGGGTCCAGTGAAGCCATCGGCGATTTCCCTACCACAGGGCCCCTCGGCGCCCCTCGGCCGGCCCGCTGGTCCCCAAACCGGCATCCCTCTTGCCGAAAAAGCAAAAAAAGTGTAAGCGGACCAGAATCCAAGATTTGAGTTGCCCGCGCCTGAGGCGAACTATTTTTTTTGGAGACGCCTCCGGACCGTGAAAGGAAGATCAACCGCGCACAGACAAAAACCAAGAGCAACGCGGAAGCTGCCAAGCCCAGCCTTTCGCACTCGGTGGCGTGTTTCCTTTTTGGTGTTTTGTTGAGGGGGAAGGACCCCCTTTCCAATCAACCAACAGGACGCTTCGTGTTTTGCTTTGTTTTGTTTCGGGGAGTTGTTAAAACTTCCTTCTTCTTTGCGGGGGGGGCGACAAGAGCGCGAACCTCCAAGACCCCTCTCTGCCGTCAGGCTACGCGGCCACGCAGCGGAGATGGGGAAGCCGGAGGCCGCCAGGAGCAAGGTGCCCGGACGCCCAGCGCTGGCTTGTCGACGTGTCGACGTGTTTTAAGCGGAAAATGGGCGTGGTTGTCCAAAATCGGGTCAAAATCGGGTCCCCATATTCATTTAAACCCCAGTTTATTGATGGGGGAATGTTCCCTTCCAAAAGTGGTCTAATTCCCCCCTCAAACCAGGGACGTTCACGAGTGGACTAGCCCACCACAAGTCCCAACTCATTTTGTTCCGCCCGCGGACCGGGGCAAAGCAAAACAACAAAACAACACCTCTGGACAAAACCGTTGGTCAGAACCGCTGCCTGCGCTCGCTCCCATCCGAGGTCCTTCACCATGAAGCCCTCTGCCCGCGGAGCTCCGGTGCCGGCGCCGGCGACGGCTCGCCGCAAGCCGCGGTTGTGGCGGGCGCTGAATCAACCCATGCCGGGGGAGGTGCTGGTGGCTGGGTGACCAAGAGTGCTATGGAAAACCCGCGAGATGGGGATCTCGCAATTGGGAGTCGGACATTGGTTTTCTCAAATTGGGAACCCACAAGGCGACGCAACGGGTTTCCTTTTGGGAAAAAAGCAAAACAAAAAACAAAAAGCAATGCAGCGGGTACCCTCAACAGAAGACAATAGTTAATAGATGTCCCTCTGTTTGGATGGTTCAAACATGGAATAACATGGAGCTTCTCTTTGAGATGATGCTTGGGCAAATATGGGAGAATCTGGGAATCACAGAACTGGTTGAGGCTCGTTGGCTAATTTGCCTCAGACACAGTGGGTGTGGCGGAGGGGGTTCATCCTGAAAATCAAGGCCAAGTCCGGGAAGCATTGTCACTCATGGTGTTATGTTTTTTCGCCAGTGCTTCCAGTTGCCACTATAGTAGGTACTGTACAACCTAGAGGTAAGCCAAATCCTGGTTACCTGCTCTGGTCACTGGAAGCACTGAGAATCCTTGCGGAACATTGTGACACACGGCGAGGCGAGCAACGGGTCAGCTTATTTGACACGGCAACTTCCCTCTGTCAACACAACAGAGTTGTAGGAACTGCCCATGTCACTGTGACAGGTGGCAACAGACTCCTGGTACCAATGGTTTCTATCTCGATTTTTTTGCAACCCTTCAAGAAACAATGTTCATGGCCTGAGGTAGACGAGGAGGTGAACGGCACCCACAAGGCCCGGTCAGAGTTTATTTGAGGCTCGGTACACGCCGCGTGCGGTTTTCGCGAAGTAGGCAAAAGCTCATTTTGGTGGACCAAATCTCTTTGACGCATACCCATATCCAAAGAGCGTATAGTTGTTGGCATGGGTCCAAACGGATTTTTTTGGCTCCCCCCCCCCCCCCGTGTTTTCCCTGCTTGCTTTTCCGGAAATCACCTGTTCCTCGAGGATGCGGATGCCGATGCGGAGCCGGATGCCCCGGATGCCCCGGAGCCGGAGGTTCCGGAGGCCTTCACCAGCGCCACGGCCATGGTGGTGCTCTTGCGGACCTACCTCCAGGAGGCCTGGGGGGAGGGGAGGGGGGGGAGGCGGGGGGAGGGGGGAAGTTTGCGGTTTCGCGGTTTCGCAGAAGCGCCAGGCGCGTTTTTGCGGCGAGTGAACTTAACAGGTGGACATGAAAAAGACGATGCCGAAGAGCTGTTGTTCCTTTGTGTCGTTGATTTTTAACAGATGTTTGAGTGGGTTGGAGTGATCCTTCCAGGTGTCCGTTTTGAGGGGGGTGGGATTGGGCGGGGAATGCCGACGCTGGGAACTGGGAACCTTCGCTAATTGGTCTCTGTTTGAAGCCATGGCCCCCTTGTTCTCTGATTTCTGGGCCCCTTCCATGTGTTCCTTTTGGCGGTCTGACACTTTCTCTTTGAAAAGGCCCAGTTGAGGTGAGCTTCTTTGGGCGGTATGATGTCCTTTGGACATACAGTCAGTCTGGTCTTGGCCCTACTGTGTTTGCCTCGTTTTCTGGGAGCACAAGATCCCTGACCCTGACCTCTTCCTTTTCGTTGGGTGTCCCTCTTCCATTCTTCGTCTTTTGGGGTGGGTGTTCCTCAACCTTTGTTTGCCCAAGAAGGGCATGCAGGGAAAATGGTGTAGCGGTTTCTCCGCGCTGTATATAGTTTGCTGGTAGTGGAATTCCTCCGCTTGAACTATTGCCGTGGTCGCCTTTTTCGTTGGTTTCCTTTTGGCTCCCTTTTTGATCCAAACAAAAGGGGTCCTCCATGTTGAGAAATACCCATGTGTTCTCATTGATATATTGTAAAAGTGTCCAACTCCAGTTTTAGCTGCTATTTTGCTCCCTGGTTTGGCTCACATCTTCTGTATTTTTCGATGACTAAAGGGGAGGGGGGGCATTTCCACTAACCAAGTCTCAGCGGACTCCAACTCAATTTTGAAGGAGAAGGTCTGGACGGTTTGTAGCCCCCGTAAATCACAGAGCATGGACGTGGCCTTTGGACTAGTTGGAGTAACGACCCCATTTTTGGAAGACACACATCAGGCCAATGTCTTTTGTTTGAAGCTCAGTGCTGTTTGTTCAAGCTTGCCTGACGGAAATGTCGAACCTGCAAAAGGAGCAACACCGAAAAAGGGGGTTGTGCTTTACGAGGGTGCCCTTTGAGCTTGGCTTAGTGGGAAAATCCGAGAGGGCATCCACCATGTTCGTTTTCCGAATCCCTATTTTGACACCCCAAAAGGACCACATCTTCCATTTGCTTACCTTGTTGGGGAGTTGATCACTATACTGGGAAAATATGTTTTCATTTGTTTCCTTCTAAAACCAACAAGGGAGACATTTGCTTTTCTTGGTGTTTTTTCCTTGTTTATTGTTTTTCAGGGGTCTTGACCCAAAAGGACACCACATCCTGCGAGGAGCGGTGGGTAGGTGCGCTGGACGGCTGGCTCCTGTTCGAGGCCGACGCGGTGAAGTACCCGCTGCCCGCGGCCCAGGGATGACGCAGTAAACCACCAGGGGACCGCAGGTTTTAGTCCACGTTTCCATTTACCAGGGTTCCATTTTGGCACCTCTAGATCTAGGTCTTCCAGTAGTGCCAACTTTGACTTTGACCAACTTTTTTGGTTGGGAGGGTTCCCCTCTAAAATAGACTACAGAAAAAGAATCGGGTACCATTATTCTAACCTCTCTACCTAGGCAACATTTGGGTGCCCCGTCTTTTTGGGAGTTGGTTCCCATGTTGCCGGTTTTTAAAGGGACGCCAAAAGGCCAACCCCCATTTTTGGGTGGCCCGAATCCCAGAAACAGACACTCCCATTTGGGTTTGCCTTTGAAGCAGAGAAGATCAAACCTGGCAAACCGGCGTTCCTTTCGGTTTCCCTTTCAAACCACCTCAAGGGTTCCAAGAGACGCGCTCCGCTGGAGTCAGAAAGACCCTGGCCGCACCTGGGACTCTGGAGCATGTCAGTTCTGAGTCTCAGGCTTCATACCTTGAGGACTTCTGGCTGGTTTTTGCTTGGAGAGGTGGTCTAGGAATACAGGAGGTTTCCGGCAGCACCAGGTAGGCCAAATGTGAAAGAGAATCTGAAATATGCTTTGTTGGAGTACCCGAGACAAGTATGTCAATCTGTAACATAATGTAAACAGGTTTCTTTTTGGAGTACCCAGATGGCCAAGACTTGTTCAATCCTGGCCTAAGTTTACATCGAAGAACAACCGGAGGTTGTTGACTTACCTGACAATGGTGGTTTCAACATGTTTAAACAAGCATTGGGCCGGTTTAAGTTTAAGTCTTAGAGCTTCTTTGGGGTACGATATGTCTCTAATTCAACAAATACAAGACAATGCTGAATTGATATCTGATGCAACTCATGTAAACAAATATACGAAGATGCCTGGTGCCCTCCGACTGCAGTGGTGGCCCGGTTGGTCCAACTGAGAACGTGGAACCACAGGAGAAACGCGCAGAGCATGCTGTTGTTCTGGACACGAGCCCAAGGTAGCAGCTTCATGCATCTCAACTCCCACGAACGGATTTAGTGGCGTAGTAGGAGGATTGGGGGATTCGTGTGGTCTGGCTGGGCCAAGTGTGAGCACTAAGCGCAAGTATTTGCTAGTTCCTTCAAGAAACTCAGCCAGCTAGAAAATGCACATGTCTTACGTTTGCAAGGTGCGACAAGCTCAAAACTCTTGGGTTCCGGCAGGCTCAGCGAGTCCCTCCAAAATAGATGATGTGGTGTCCCTCTAGCACTGAAAATATCAAAACGGCAGCTTCCTGTTACTTTCCGATAGTCCTAGTTGCCAGAGGTGGACCACGGAGAACCGAATCGATCAAGAGGAGCTCCGGAAACCCCTCATGCCACACCCTGTTGTCCAGAATCTTGTGTCAGAAACCTGTCCCTCCATTTGCTTAAGAATATTTTTTAAATATTCCCTTGTTGGTTTTAAAAGGAATTCATCACTACTGGAAATGTGTTTTTTTTCTGGGGCCTTAACCAAATGCAAGTGTCCTCTGTGCCTTGCCAGTTTGATCGGATCTTCCACCTTGAGCTTTTTGGAAGCATGACTGTCCCCAGTTTTTTTGTCTTTTTATCAAACACCAGGCCTGGGAATCAGCCCTACCAGTGTTCTGTGTGCATGCGTTTAGGTTTTGTGGGGTGGAGTCTGGGTAATTAGCCAGCTGAGTTCACATTTGCCAGCAAGCAGTGGTTCCTGTTTTGCAGCCCTTGAAATACCATATAGGGCTTGAAACATGAAGCCATCCGCGATTTGACCCGTCATGTGTTCCAGCCTAGTCGATTGAGGCTTCCATTTTCGAAAAATATTCTGGCTTGGTCCCCTGTGGCGCCTAAAAGCTGATCCTCTCTTGGTCTGCTTGTTGAAACCACAAAGCTCCGTTGGGGTACAGGGAAGACCAGGCAAGTGGATAGCCCTTGAAACGGGCTGCGTGCACAAGGGGACTTCTCCAGGAATATTCATCAAAGTGGGAAGGTTCAAGTGGGGTTCCTTGTCAATCCCCTAGGACCGAGAAACCACAACCACGGGAACTCCCTCGCCGCTTTCCCAAAATCCGACCTTTTGTGTTTTCCCAGTTAAGTTGTTTTTGTTGCGCGAGGTCAAAAAGGTCAACAGTTATTCAGGTAAGCTTTAATTGGTGGTTTGGATTGGTGGTTTGGAGATTTGAAGCCCTGGCTCTTGTAGAGGGTAAATGCCAACTCCCCCCAGAACACCGCCAAACCACCGGGCTCCAAACCACCCTTGGGAGGGAAGCTGATTTACGCCTGCCAACTGATCCTCTGAACCGCCCATTCCCGCTCAGGGATTCGGGCGCGCCTTTGAAGAGCCCGGACCAGCCGGAGCTATTGAGTCGGGGCCCAAAAAGCTCAATTTCACACACCGGTGCATGTCAAAAGTTTCGGAGGTGCGCTGAGAGCAGTGAGTGGGTTTACTGCTTTTTGTAGGCTTGCCAACACTGCTGCATCTTGCAACACAACTTCACCGGTCGGATAATTTTCCGCTATTGTTTGCCTGTGCCGCTTGACCCTTTCGATCTGACGAGCACGCGTGCAAACGCGTGCGCTTGCTGTTGACGTTTTTGGGCCTGACCACCTTCCCCCCCGCAATAAACCAGCTGCGCCCACAGAGGCCCCGTGCAAACTTGAGTGATTGAGTGAGTGAGTGAGTGAGTGAGTGAGTGAGTGAGTGAGTCCGTACCTGTGGTTTCTCGGAGGCTACATTTTTCTGATGGGTCAAAAACAACATTTTCCATCGACATGCCACTTTTGCGAAAGCACACTGTTTCAAGCTGAGCATTGTAGGCGCAAATCGAAACAGCAATTGCACCCGGCAACTGTCCCCGACTTCGAAGTGGCATTTTGTGAAACGGCTGTCTTTTAGGCAACCGGCTTCTTTTTTTTATCGCGACACGGCGGACAACTATGTCTTTTCGCCAAACAACGAAAACAGAACCTTCTGGAGGTCGCGGGCATTTGGGATTTACCCTTTAGAACATAGGAAGTTCGCCCAACGAGCTGTCCTGTAGAAACCACACTGCCCAAATCCCTCGGTGTTCTTCGGTTTCTCTGGGCTTCACCCAGAGAAAACCACCGGAGCGCCATGGGAATCCAGAGGCCTGGGGTCCCTCTTCGCGGTGGCGGCGCTCGGCGAGCGCTACGAAGGCGTGACTCACGGACGTGCAACACGAAACGACCGGAGCTGACCTTTGGGTTTTCCACGTCCGACACGGGCAAGTGAGACAAGGGTAGTTACATATATATATATATATATATATACATATATATATATATATATATTTATTGTAAACGCTTCGCGTTGCCCGCCTCGGCCCAGCCTATTTTTGAGGGAAGGGTCAGGAACACCGAAATCCAGTGTTGGGAAGGTCCGAATACCTGAAGCTGGCTCCAGACAAGTCAGACAAGCCGGCCTCGCCTGGTTGGGCTGGGCCACAGGCTAGTCTCAGACACATCAGATAAGCCTGCGCTGGGCCTGAAGCTAGTCTCGGGCAGCTTGGCTGGACCTTGCTTGCGTGGGTTGTTGGTTGAGCTGGGCCTGAAGCTAGTTTACGGCGGGCTGGGCAGCCGCACTGAGGGGGCTGGGCTATGGCTGGGCTGGGCCTGAGGCCAGTTTCAGACACGTCAGACAGGCCTGGTCAGCAGGCGGACTGGACTGGGCTGGGCTAGACGCTAGTTGAGCCCAGGCTGGTGAGGCCCAGTCTTGGCGCTAGATAGGCTGAGGCCTGCGAGTCTCAAACAGGGTGGGCTTGGGTGGGGTTGGCTTAGGCGGGTTGCTGGTTGGGCTGGGCCTGAAGCTAGTCTCAGCCACGAGGCTGCGAAGCCATGGGTGGGTTGCTGGCTGCTGGGCAGCCGGACTAAGGTGTTGGTTGCGCCTGGAACTTCGGCTGGGCGGGCTGGGCTGAGCTGTGCTTGGGCGGGTCGCTGGATGGGCTGAGGCTGGGTAGCGAGTTGCTGGCTGGGCTGGGCCTGGCTGAGGCCAGTCGCAGACACGTAAGACACGCCAGCAGGCGGGCTGCGGGACGTCTCAGACTGGCATACCTTGAGACCAGTCTCAGACTGCGCCGAAGGGGCCTGGTCAGCCTGGGCTGCTTAGTAGCTGGCATAGCTTGAGACCAGTCTCAGACACGTGAGACTGGCCGTTGGCCTGAGGCCAGTCTCAGACACGTTAGACAAACCTGACCTTGGCACGCTGGGCTGAGCCTGCTGGTGGGCTGGGAGCTGGGGGCCGGTAGATGCGCCGGGCCTGGGCTGGGCAGGCTTTGGGCTGGGCCTGAAGCTAGTCTCAGCCACGAGGCTGCGAAGCCATGGGTGGGGGAACTTGGGCTGGGCGGGCTGTGCTTGGGCGGGTTGCTGGCATACTTTGAGACCAGTGGGCTGGATGACTTGGGGCCAGACGCGAGCAGGAGGTCAAGGCCTGGCCAGCCTGGGCTGAGTTGCTTGGGCCGCGGCACTGAAGCTCAAGCCGCCGTTCGCCTCTCTTGGACACGTGCCGTCAATTTGGCGGTCAACCACCTGTACCCCTGGTGTCCTTTTGCAACCTTTGGAACCTCCGGGCCGGCAAAATTTTGGTCGGGGAGGGGGTTGGGGGAGGGGAAAAGCGAAGATTCTCTTTGGAGAAGAGATCTGAGCGCCCTTGGCCCCTTTGGGGCCGAGGCGAATTTACACATATATATATATACATATATATATATATATATAGTATGTTTATGTATATATATATATATATGTATGTATGTCTATATATATTCGTTTGTAGCTGGTATGAATATCATCACCTTTCGGTTGCCATTCGACTTCCCTTCTGGCGATGTGATACTTAAAGAGGAACTATAGGGAGCCCTGTCCACAAAGAAAACCGCATCCTCTGCAGGAAGTTGTATGATTGGTACCCCAACCACCACCCCAACTTACAATGTCTGGTAGAAGGCGGACCGCTACAGCCAGAATGCCAAAATCCTGGTAATCTTGTTGGTTCTCGGCAGGGAGTGAGGGAATGACTCAGACTGAAACATTTCATTCCCACCCCGAAAGTTAGTTCCCGCAACAAGGAATTTCTGGTTTCTTTACTCCAAGTGTTCTAAGGCGCACTGCCTCTTGCCCACCTTGAAGCCAGCCCGAGGGGATCAGTTTTTCGTTTTTGCAGGGTTCTGGCAGAGGGCAGAGGTTGGGAGGGAAAGCTGCGGTGTGGACCTTACCATTCGGACCCAAGCCCATTTGGTCGATGTTCTTTGTGATTGCTGCTGCCAAACAGAGCAGCCTCCAATGCTAGGTTGTCCTCGTGAGTTGTCCTAAAATTACACATGTTCCCTGTGTTCACTGTTCTTGGCTTATGTAACATTGTTTCTTTGCATAAGGGCGGTTTGAATTCAGGATTCTGAAGCTGGTCGGGATGGATGTGGGGAAGGACGCTTGGGGGATCGCTACCACAACATAGCTACGGTCTTGGAATCTGGGAAGCTTCCCAAACCCATAGGGTCCCATCGCGGGGAAACCAGCGCTCTGCAGCCATGGATGTGTCGAAGATGTGGTATGGGGGAAGGTCAATACGCGAAGCGGGCAAATATGTGGTTGACTCCAGGGGAAAACAACAACAGGACCCGCACTTGTTTTTTGTTTTGCTTGTGAGGGCATGGTGGTTCCAGTACATTTTCCCGGAGAGATTGGTTTTGAATAATTACTCTCAAGCCATACTGCTTCCAGGTCTGGCCTACTGACCATTTGTCATCTTCTGAGTGTTGTTCAAGCTAGCCTTGGCTGTTTGACCAGAATCTGGTTTGGAACAAACTGTCCCAAAAACATATTAAAACACATCAAAAACCCAAGGATATAGCTTACACCCCCATCTACCCTCTACATGCATTTCATGTTTTGAATGAACATTCTAGTAGAAATTCGAGCCTCGCTTAAAACTAAAACAATACAAGGGGCCGCATGTAGGATTTCCTTGTTCAAACGGATTTCAATTAGGTATTAGTTAGAATTGTTCTTTCAAATCAGACTTCAAGGTGGCTTCCTTTTCAAGGTTGATCTGTTCAATCGTTTGATAATAATTTGAATAGATTTTGAAAGGACACAACTCTAGTCAAATTTCTAGCTGTAACTAGAGTTTAGATAGCGCGTTCTTTTGAAAGATGGTTCCATGTTAGATTTCAAAGGGGGGGTTCCTTTCCCAAGAAGATGTTTCATGCTTTGTTTCGTTTAATAAGGGTTTGAATAGGATTTAACACTACCGATGTTTAGTATAATTTCTGATTTCAGTTAGAATTGACATAGAGCACCCTTTCTCAAGAGGAGTTCAGTCAAATGCCCAAACATAATTTCAAGTCAGAGTTTAAAAGTGGAATTCCTTTCCCAATGGTAGTGTTGATTTTTGAAGTAAAACATAAATGGATTTAGTAAGGAAAGAGGCCTGGTAGAAAGCCTAGCTTCAATTGGAATACAAATACGATTTCCGCTTTAAGACTTCAATTTAAGTTTGAATAAGATATTGTTTTTCGAATGTTCAAAGGGGTGTCCTTTCCAGTCAGGATTTTCAACCTTTCAAACATGATGTACATGGGAATTCATGAGGGCTGAATTCTAGTAGGATTTCTAGTTTCAGTTGGAATTTTAGTAGGATGTTTGTTTGAAACAGGATTTACACCTGGCTTTACTCAGAATTATTATTTCAATTTGGACTTTGCAAGGGATTTGGTCAATCTGTTGGCACGAAATTGGATAGATTTTAGCAAGGAAAGACTGCCAATAAGATCTTTAGCTTCAATTGTATTTCCTTCAAATCATAGGTCATGTCCTTCGCCTCGAGTGCCATCTGGGTCAAACGTGGAAGGGGCGAGCTGCGTTCTGAACCGTCTGCGCACACACTCCAACCCTGAAACACCTTGCATTCATATGAACACCACTGCCGAAGGCCTCTCTTGGTTGTTGGCCCCTGGGCAGAGCCAACCGGTTGCCATGTTGGGCACACATCTGGATGTTACCGGGCAACCACACTCCCTGAGTTGGACTTCAGTATCTTTGTGGGGAAGACCATTTGGCTAAACACCTAAGATTCCTGAGCTGTTTTTGCCCAATCCACTCGATCGCAAGTGAGATGCTACCCTTAGAGCCATCAATTCCTCTCAGCGCGGGTCCATGGGCGTTCAGTGGATCCAGGTTGCGCCACGCCCGAGTTGCTGGAAAGCCGGGGCCCCAGTTTTGACGGACCGACTTGTGGACACAGTGGGCTGGGCAGGTTTCGAAAATGGCCGAAGTTTTCATGGCCAAATTCGAGAATGACTGGTTTTGAAGGCCATGTTCAACATGGTTTGGTTTTGTGGAATGGCCATGTTCCAACTGACACCACCACCACCACCACCACAAACACGCTACCCAAAACCCACCACCAAAAAACCCACGGTCACTTCCCGCCCGGGGCGTCTTGGCTTTTTGGTCAGGTCTGTGTGCCCGGAAGCTCCAGCCTGACGTCCTGGAAGAGCTCGCGGAGTATCTGCAGGGCAGGAGATTCAAAACGCGCACGGCTGGGTGTGGAGCAAGCAACGTGGGCCCTCAAGCCAAACGCCCACATGTTTCCCGAAAGCATCGCGAAGGGTTCTTCCGCGCGGAGCTCTCGGACCAACTTGCATAGAGTCACTTGCGCAGAGTCAAATACATAGAGCCAAGTGCATGGAGCCAAGTGCATAGAGCCAAGTGCATAGCGCTTCGGCGTTAGCAACTATGTAAGTTAAGTTTAGCTTTCTAGGGCGCCGGGGCAGAACTTTGATGGATTGCAACCCTCTGCGGGGATCGGCGTGGTCGAGGTGCAAAAACTCGAGGTTTTTTGCGATTCTCGCGGGGATCGGCCAAAAGCTCGAGTTTTTTTAGTTTTTTTGTTTTTTCGATTTCTGATCTGCGCGCGCGACCCTCTACGGGGATCGGCGTGGTCGAGGTACAAAAACTTGAGGTTTTTTCGATTTCTGATCTGCCCGCGCGACCCTCTGCGGGGATCGGCGTGGTCCAGGTTCAAAAACTCGTTTTTCTTTGGCGTTTTTGCGGTGCGCGGATGAACCCTCTGCGGGGATCGTGCGTGTCGACGCGCTCTCGCTGTGGCGCCGCGCGTGTTCGTTTTAGTCTCGGCGAACCTGCGGAGATTGTGCGTGTCGAAGCGCTCTCGCTGCGGCGCCGTGCGGTTTTATTACTCGCGAAATGGCCTTTTGCGCGCCTGCTTTCGCAATCGCGCGTTCGCGGGTTCGATTCCCCCCTGGTCCACGGCAGCTCCGGCTCAAGCAAAGAAGCCGTAGTATGTGGAGTGTACTCCCGGCGGCTCCGACCGGAAAATCGCAACCCTGAAGCGCATTTCGTATAGTGCGCGGAGCACCTCCACAGCTGAGCTTAGGCTGAGCATCTTGCGCACAGATACCAGCGCCGAGCGTCTTGCGGAGAGAAACTTGCACAGAGCAACGTGCACAGATAGCTTGAAGACAGATGTCGAGCCACTTGCGTGCAGCAGCTTGCAGAGAGCAACTTGCGCGCAGCAGCCTGGAACAATGCAGCTTGCGCAGACACTGCCATGTTTCCTCTCGTAGGACGATGAGATGGAGCTCTCATGTGACCATACACATTGAGCATCGCCGCGTGCAGACGCTCGCCGCATCGATGTAAAAAGGTGTCTCCGCGGCTGGAAGAGCGCTTGGGGAAAAACTTTCGGGCCAATCATCCTCTAGTTTTGTTTGCGGGGGGGAGTTAAGCCACCCGTATAAAAATGGACATGATGTTCACCAACCAGAGGTTTTGGGGCAATGAGCCCCACATTTTTAGGGGTATCTAGTATCCTGTACATAAAGAAAAAAGGTCAGACTCCCCCACATGGTTGCACGAGCCTCAGAACGCTGGCGAAGCCACAAGGGTAGACCCTATTAGCGACGAAAAGGAAACTAACATCCCTCAGCAAAGCCGCAATGCGATAAGGAACCTTCTGTGTGGGACATGGTTTCCTGCCAGTGTTTCCCGCCGCTTAGGGGAGTATTTTGGTTGTGTGTTGCTTTCGCGTTTAAAGTGAAGCTCGTTAAATCACCCATTTTCCTCCAAACAGGACCCGGTACAACTGAGAAAGGTGGGCACTGGTTCCCTATTGATTCGTGAGGCAACCCCGTTCCTTTGTTGGAACATTTCAACGGACCGGATTTTCCTGACAAACGACGGCAACTCCCGGACCTGCATGTTGGAGGCTTGGCCCAAGCCTTTCGACATGTTCCTCTACCTTTTACACAACATCATGACCTGTTGGCTGCCCTTCGGCCGAAACTCCGTCGTTTAAGCCGATTGCCAATTGAGCAGAGCCCTCTTGAAGCAAATCTCCTCCCAACATCCTGGCCTTTAGATTTTTGGAGAAGACCAGGTTGGTGCGAACAAAAGCTTTTCACCGAACGCTGGCCAATCCGGAAGCGAGTTGCTCATATTGGTCCTTTTGCCAATTGGTCTATAAGTGGTCCCGGGAGAATGGGACGGCTGAAAAATTACGCTATTTCCCATGCCAGCACCCTCCAACTGCTTTTTCCCATGTCCAAAATCCCAAGTACTGTCCAAGAAGCAGCGGTAAAGAGTGCTGGTGGTCATGGGCTTTTGGTTTCAAAGTGCCCCACCTTCTGATAATTTAAGCCCATACAGTACCCGATTATTCAGCTCCCTTCTTTTAAAGTCATACAGCCTCGTTGGAGATGAGAGTGACTTGCTGGGTGCTCGCTGGTGGCCCTACCACTACTGATGACAGCCCCCGGTCAGTCTTGCACGTCAATGAGGACCGTCGCCACAACAGGAATCTTCAAAGCCAGCGGCGAAGGAAGTGGTGCTCACAATGAAGTTTCCAAAGCAACTGGTTGGGAGATTGATCGGGAAGAGTGGACAATCGATGGTAAGGATCAAAGCTGCCACAGGGGTGAGAGTGGAATTGGACTCGGTGTTCGACGTGTGCCTTTTTTTCCTTGAATGCAACCCTAAAAAGGGCACCCTCAAACCCCCCCCCTCCCATATCTAACCAAGACACCTGTGTGGGTCACCCTCCAAGTTACGGTTGTCCCGTCAAAAAATGAAGAAGCACAAAGGGTACCTGGACCCTCACACTAGCCCTAAAAATTGCGGGTCAAATGCCCATTGCTATGACCCCCAACAAGAAAAAGAAGAAGTACTAGGTCTGTCAGTAGCGCCCTTTGACCCTTTTTTGGGGGAGGGTTCCCCTACTAAAATAGACGGCAGAAAAAGTTGCTACCCTTATTCTAAGCTCTCTACTGGAGGATCTAGAGTACCAGGACTGGCAAATGCCCATTTTATGGGTGGCTTAGCCTCTCCCCAACAAAAGAAGAAGTCCCAGGACCTTAGCCAGAACCTAGCCCACAGGTGCCTCAAAGCCCCGCGCAAGGAGCGAGAGCTGCTCCTTGTTGCTGAGCGCCGGCAAGGCCAAGCAGGCGAGGAAGCCGAAAGAGAGATGGTGATTGTTGACCCCGGAATAGAAAAGTGTCATGAACTGGGGTTGATTGATATGGGACCAACAAGAGTCCCCAATTGGAACCCCGATAAATGGAAAGAGATAATGTTGACCCCGGATTAGTAAACCCCTGTTGATGAATATGGGGGTGTCCGGTGTCCCCGGTTTTAATGGGGATTTATCACTTTTGGAGGGGAACAACCCCCATATCAATAAACAGGGTTTATTCATCCGGGCTCAACATTATCTCTTTCCATTTATCGGGGTTCCAATTGGGGGTTCTTGTTGATCCCATATCAATCAACCCCAGTTTATGAAGCTTTTGGAGGGGAACACCCCCCTGTTAATACACTGGGGTTGATTAGTATGGGGGCAACATTACCAAGCTTATCTTGTGGTCTTACAGGGGAACCGAGAGGAAAACCATCACTTTAAGGGTTCGCCCAAAAAGAAGACACATCCATTTGCACATGCGGACCTTTCTGGACTTGTCAACTAATCGACCGGATCTGACCAAAATGGATTTTCCACGGTCCATGGAAGCAGTCCCCACATCGGGCTTCCGAGCAGTTTCTGGGCTTGGAAGATGTTCGTGGAAAGCAAGTTTAGACTTTTCTTGTGTACTGGTTCACTGGAGCTCTTGGCCGCTTCCGAAGCCGAAACTGCGGTTTACACGGCCGTCGGACGGTGGTCCATCCAGCCGTGTGCGGCGGGTCTCTTCCTTTACATGTTTAGCTGCGATTTGCTTAAGAATACGTTTTATTCCCCCTGTTGGTTTTAAAGGGAATCTATCACTATTGGAATTATGTTCATTTTTCCAGGGGACTTAAGCAACTGGAAGTTAAAGAGACCCCCAGCGTTCCCTCCAAGATAGTTTGGGCGAATTTGAGAGTGTTCACCTTCTCTGACCCAAAGAGTGATCACCTGTTATGGTCTGTTTGGTCTTCAAAGGCAGGGAACCCCTCAAAACGATTTCCGTTCTGTGTGCCCTTTTGGCTCGCAGGCAAAAAGAGTACTCCTGTTTTGGCCCACCCATTTTAAGGATGTGTCCCATTGGGACCCGAGGACCAATCGTACTTGGTCCAGTGTCCCTTTCGGTTTCATTGGCAGAGCCAAGTCTAGACACCTTTGAGCGTGCCTAAACATCTCCCTTTGGGCCAATTCAAAGGGGGGGAGGCTCCTTTCTGATGCAGCGTGTTTAGAAGGGCTCCTATGACATTCCCTTTTCGCGGTGGTTTTTGAAGAGCGCCTTTGGACCAAATTGGAGTGAATCTGCAAGTTACTTGCGTCACGTCCTTTGTTATGTTTTGTGGCGAGCTCCCATGATAAAGGTCCTTTAATTGGAGGTTTGTGGAATTTGTAGATGTAGTTGAGATTTGGGCAACAACTGCTTAAGGAACAAAGCGTTGTAAGTTTACACGATTGTTTGACTAGAGCAACACGCATTTAGCCGGCGCAGGGACCAAATTACGAGCAGTACAGAGGCAGGTCCAACCAGTTGCTTTTTTGGAGCTCCACCTGAGACACGAACACTGAACACCCCATCAAACACCAAAGCAGAGATCAACATTGGGGTCTCCCTTCTTTGGTGCATTTTGCTTGGATGTTAGGACTTTAACTTTTTGCCAACTAATGGGTTTTCCATTAACAAATAAGCTTTAGCAGGGGAGCAGAAAGCAACCGAGCCTTGTTGGTTTGTATTTGGCCGAGGGCAGTTGGGTTTCTTGGAGGGCGGTGCTCGCGAGGTGCCTCCTGTGAAGGTCTCCCACCTGGCGGTGCCGTTCCTGAAGGCGACTTTGAGTGTCGAGCGCGTTGTCCTCGTCGTTTTCGGTTCATTCTTGGCTTGGTTTAGCTGAGGGACTGGGTTGGAGGGTTGGAGGGTTGGAGGGTTGGAGGGTCGGGGTCTCCCAAGACAATGTTGTTTTCTGTTTGTTTTCCCGGACGTGTCTTTTCTCTGATTCGGATCCCTCCAAATGGTGGGTGTGCCTTTTGGCTTACCTTTGAAATCACCGAAAAAGGATACCTGCAAAACAACACACACACACAAATAGCAGCCAAGTACAGAAAACAGCGAAATCGGAGGATCCACTAAATGCACCTCGAGTGGCTCACATCTCGAGAGACTGGGGGTAAGAGTCATGATTATATAAGGTACAAGGCTCACATGAATACTCAAGGCGACTTCGGAATCTGGAGGCTCATGATCGGCAAGCCCCGTGTAGTGGGAAGTTGGTTCACTGCGGGGTTCTCTTGATCTGCTGCTTCATCCAAAGTGAACGCCATGGAAGATAGACCGATCCTGCAAATCGACGGAATTGAGAACATGTTTGGCGGTTGCGCCAAGGACCCAGGGCTCATAGTCTGCAGTTTTTTTTGGGGGGTAAGATACATGTTCTTCCATAAGCATTCCCTTTTCCGGATCGAAGGGTTCTTCCGCCAAATGGGTATTTCCCCCTTCAACAGCACCCCAAAAGGGACTGACTCTAAATTGGCTTCTAAGGTGCTGTTTGAAACCGTCAGGGGAAATATCGGAGCCCGTCGCATGCGTTTGGGTGTCACAGGGATTCAGAGCCCCAAAAGATTGGTTTCCTTTTGGTTTCCCTGTCCAGCCTCAGCAGACACACCCATCATATATAGGTTCCGCAAAACCAACCTGAAAATGGGTACCGAGAGCCACATTCTAAGAGAACACACGCACACACACACACAAAGAAGCAAGCGACATAGTGTGAACCTTCACCTCAGCTTTCTTCCAACGTGAGGCGACTCAACGCAGGCACGCGCAATGTTTCTCGAGGGGGAGTTGGGCAGACAGGAAAGGATGCTTCCAGCAGACATCAGACAGAGTTTGCCCTGATGGAATCGCTTTCACTGGACATATGTTCTCATTTTGCAGGGGCCTAAGCAATGTTTTGAACATGTTGGTAGAACTAAAAGCCATTGGGTGTTCGGCGCTGCTCAAATGTGTTTGACCAGCTTTCAAATGGTTGCCATTGTTTATACTGTTCGGTGGGTTCCCCTCTACAAACATGTCTTGAGATGATTCTGCCAAAATCGGCCCCTTGAAGGGTTCACATGTTGGAGCTGCTCAAACTTTTCGAGATGGGATGGCCCTCTCAGATTGACGTGGTTCTTGCGGAGGCCTGCGGGAGTCCAGAGAAAGGGGTCGTTCAGCAGGCAAACCTTGACCTTTTTGCTCTCGTGACTGTCCCGCTTTTTCTTCAGTATCGGACCCCCGCGAGTTGGGATAAATGGGACCTATTCATCCACCAGGGGTTGGGGGAAGCTGCATCGGCCATACCTTTCAGGTTCGAAGTCTTTGCGTCGGTTTCACTGTCCTAAGCAACCCCCAACAGGGCACATTCGAGCAAATCGGCACCCGCACACACACACACACACACACACACACACACACACACTTAAACTCCAGATGGAGGGTGCTAATCTTTCGAGTACAACTGATGAGTCTCGAGTACAACTGATGAGTCTCGAGTACAACTGATAAGTCACTCATCGTTCGAGTACAACTGGTGAGTCTCGAGTACAGCTGGGGTTCAGCTGGTTTTGGAGAAAAGGGCAAAAAGGGGACCTTTGTTTGGGGTGGGCCCGCCAGCTGCCATGACAATGGCCCAGGCGCAGCCCCGCAGGTACGTTTGGACCCGGACACCGGGGGGCGTCTTCGTTGGCTGGAGACCCCCCGGGCCGGCTCCAGCCCCCTGCTGCGGTGGAAAAAGGTGGATGGTGGCAGGGTAATCTGCCACTCCGCACACACACGCCCCTCAGTGAGGGGCGAAAAGTCTCTTTTTCGGGGGGAAGAAGAAGCGCCCGAAAGACGGACGAAGACCCCAACAGAAAACAAACGGAGCAAGAACCCAAAAGGAACAGAAAGGCCCCACGTTGGGTCTCCGCGGGCAAAACCCCAACCAAGAAACACGAAAAACGGGAAACCGAGTTTAGGGTCACCGCCGAGGGCAAAGAACCCCAAACAGTCCAGAAACCCTCCTAAACCTTGTAGACAAAGAGCACCGCGAAGTTGAAGAACGACACCACGAACACGCCATCCCTAAACGGGCGAAGAGGAACAACCGGAAGTAGTAGGGAAAGGGGAGAAGAAAAGAAGGAGAGAGCGAGAAAGAGAGAAAGAGAGAAAGGAGGAGAAGGGCCGAGATGCGTATTTAGGGCGCCGCAGCCCGCCCGGGGGAAGGAGAAAGGAACGCAAGGGAGAGAGAAGAAGAAGAAGGAGAGAAAAGAAGACAAAGGGAGCGAGATGCGTATTTAGGGCGCCGCAGCCCGCCCGAGGAGAGGAGAAAGGAGAAAAAGAAAAGGAAGAGGGAAGTAGTATGCGTTTTTAGGGCGACGCATCCCGCCCAGACAGGAAGAGAGGATGAAGTCCAAAGCTCGAGGAGGAAGACGACGAATCCCACACAGGGGCCAAGAGGACGAACACGAAATAGCAACGGAAGGGGAAGAAGACGTCAAGCCAAACTACGTGAGGAAGAAGAGGAGTAGGAACAGGAAGACGGACACGAAGACGACGACGAGGAAAAAGGTGAACAACGCGAGGACAACCAGGCCATCCCTAAGCGGGCGAACAGGAGGAGGGCGAACGCGCGGGTCACGAAAGGCAGCAGGAAGAGAACGGGAGGAAGGAGAAGCCATCCCTAGGCGGGCGAAGAACCAGAAGACGGGCACGCGGAAGACGAAGGCGAGAAAAAAGAACGAAGGGTGAAACGTAGCTATGAAGAGGTGGCTGTCTTCCCTTTAGTGAAACCTCGATCCTGGTTAAATGTGAAATTCCGCTGGTCTATGATAAGCACGCTGAGGTCAAATTTTCCGACAGAGCCGGCCCGGGGTCACACAATGGGTACACCCGAGGATTCCCCACGAATGGGGTGTACACACTTAAACTCCAGATGGAGGGTGCTAATCATTCGAGTACAACTGATGAGTCTCGAGTACAACTGATGAGTCTCGAGTACAACTGATAAGTCTCTCATCGTTCGAGTACAACTGGTGAGTCTCGAGTACAGCTGGGGTTCAGCTGGTTTTGGAGAAAAGGGCAAAAAGGGGACCTTTGTTTGGGGTGGGCCCGCCAGCTGCCATGACAATGGCCCAGGCGCAGCCCCGCAGGTACGTTTGGACCCGGACACCGGGGGGCGTCTTCGTTGGCTGGAGACCCCCCGGGCCGGCTCCAGCCCCCTGCTGCGGTGGAAAAAGGTGGATGGTGGCAGGGTAATCTGCCACTCCGCACACACACACACACACACACACACACACACACACACACACACACACACACACACACACACACACACACACACACACACACCACACCCACACCACACACACCACACACCACACCACACACACCACACCACACACACCACACCCACACACCACACCCACACCCACACACGCACACGCACACGCACACGCACACGCACACGCACACGCACACGCACACGCACACGCACACGCACACGCACACGCACACGCACACGCACACGCACACGCACACGCACACGCACACGCACACGCACACGCACACGCACACGCACACGCACACGCACACGCACACGCACACGCACACGCACACGCACACGCACACGCACACGCACACGCACACGCACACGCACACGCACACGCACACGCACACGCACACGCACACGCACACGCACACGCACACGCACACGCACACGCACACGCACACGCACACGCACACGCACACGCACACGCACACGCACACGCACACGCACACGCACACGCACACGCACACGCACACGCACACGCACACGCACACGCACACGCACACGCACACGCACACGCACACACACACACACACACACACACACACACACACACACACACACACACACACACACACACACACACACACACACACACACACACACACACACACACACACACACTTGGGAGGCGTTGGAAAGTAGCTCTTGGCTCAAGCTGCGATCTTTCCCATGCGTTTAGGAACCCAGGGAAGCTGTGGGATTCTGAATTCTGGTGTGATGTGTTTTCCTGAGGCATGGTTGAGCTTATGTTGCCAGAGGATCCCCTAGTTGACCTGCAGTGGTGTTTATGTCATTTGCCTTCGCAACCGGCGAGTTGAACAACTCTTGATTTGCTCAAACCCGGGTAGTTGAAGGTTCGTAGGGGACAATCCCAACCATAGATGGGTGCGGCCGCCCGTTCAATTCTTTACATGGTTTTGGGTAGACCATTTTCATATCATAGCAGGTTTTGATCCTGACTCGATTGACGGGACATATTCCACCCACAGCAAATCACCCCATGGGATAAGGCCAGCATGATTCTGGATGAAAGTCCATTCGACATAATGTAGATTTAGCGGAAGGATCAAGTATCATCGTGCTTCGGGTGCTTTTGAGCATGTTCAAAATCATATTCAAACATTGCATCATGTGTCGTTCCAAATTATCACAATCGGAATCGGCAAATTCAGGATATCTCCTGACTGAAAGGCACACCCAACAGATGCTTAGAACTGGGCAATGGAATGCGAACACCCTGTTGCAATAGGCATCCCCGGAAACGTTGCGTTTCTGCGTTTTGTTTGCGCTCGGCTTGCCCTCAAAGCCGCAAAGGGGGCCCTCCACAAAAGACATACACAATAACGAACCCCTAATTGGTGGTTTGGACTGGTGGGTTGGATTGGCGGTTCGGGACTTGAACCCCCAATTCTTGTAGAGGAAGACGTGCCAAACCATGTAAGATCCAAACCAATCCAAGCCAACAACCCTTGCCCCCCAAAGTCCCCTCCGCCATCGAGGAAGAAGCGGAGGAAAAAGAGGAGGAGGCTGGACTTGTTTCACAGACTAGCGACTGTTTTTTGAAGGAGGCCCGTGGTTCGTGTCCCGCCCTACGCTACCACTTACTCCAATGGAAGCTGACTTCCATTTCCCTGTGATTTCATTTCCCTGTATAGTAGGTCACCAAGGGCGCCACCCTTTAAAACCCAAGAGCTCATGTTGGTTGCATACTGTAGTTGCCGGCATTTGGGTTTGCTTTTGCGGCTTTCTGATTTTCCCCTGGTTTTGAAAGGAAATTCACTGGACGTGTTTTTTTTCCTTCAGGGAACTATCCGCAAATCGAAGCTGATCGGAAGGCTAGTTTCCTTTGGGCACCCCCCTAAATGGGCGTCTCGTCTTTTTGGACCCCCCAAAATGGCGCAAATTGTCCGTCAAAACCCGAAGAAACGGGTCCCCGGAAAAAGCACACGCCCAAATGCTCGATCTCCTTTTGGCTGAAGCCAAGAAGCAGCGGGCACGGGGAAGCCCATGTGGGGTTGTGTGTTTTCGGAGTTGGTACCCCTTTTTGGTGGTTGTTGAAGGGAAGCCAAAGGAAAGCCCACTATTTTAAAGACACCCTGTGGCATCCGAACAGCCCGAAACCTGGGACTTATGATCGGCCTGATCCGACGGTTATGATCCGATGATCCGCTGGTCCGATGATCCGATGGTCCGCTGGTCCGATGATCCGATGGCCCGCTGGCCGATGATCCGCTGGTCCGATGATCCGATGGCCCACTGGCCGATGATCCGCTGGTCCGATGATCCGATGGCCCACTGGCCGATGATCCGCTGGTCCGATGATCCGATGGCCCACTGGCCGATGATCCGTTGGTCCGATGATCCGATGGCCCACTGGCCGATGATCCGCTGGTCCGATGATCCGATGGCCCACTGGCCGATCACTGGCCGATGATCTGCTGGTCCGATGATCCGATGATCCGATGGCCCGCTGCTCCGATGATCCGATGGTCCACTTTGCGGATCTGCCACGGTCCCACGCCCACTGGTCTGCAAAGGTGGGGTTTTGATCAAGCGAGCTTGCGCGGACCAGACGGCAACCAAGCGCAGGCGCCGCCAAACAGCTCCAGCTCCTGGGAAGCAGGCTGGTAAGGACAGCGCACAACAGCCTTCTACTTGGTGAGCAGCCCAAAGTCCAACCCAAGACTTTACAGACCAAACGCCCTTTTCACGCAGTGTCCGTCGTAGTGGCTCTTGTCCGGAAAAGATGGTCCAGCCATCTCCTGCAGGAAGGACAGAAACCCGAAGCGGCTCATATGTTTGGTTTGGTGGCCGTAGGCCGGTAGCCACGTGAATGTGAACTCGCGCACAGAAGTTCTAATTTTTTCAGACGCTCTGCGTTTGTGGGCAAATCGGGATAGCAAGTCTCCCGGCAAAACGAGTCGATGGCGAAGCCCAACGCAGGCGGCGCAATGGAGGCGGCAGCTGCTAGAGGCCTGCCGCGGCAAGCAACCAAAAAGCAACGATGGCTCTATAAGATAACGAAAGCACTTGAGCCCAAGGGACTATAGATGTAGTTTGTGCCTGGAATACTTTCAAAAACTTCGGGGCTCAGCTGGCCTCCCTCCTCTTCAAACAGTACGTGAAGAGGCCTCGACTTGGGTTCCGCCAGGCAAAAAAATCCTTGAGGCAAGGACTCGCTACCATAAATCTGCTGCATGAGCACGATGATTCCGGATGAACGGCAGACACCCAGCAGTTTTCGCCAGGCTTTCTTTGTGCGTAGCTCAAGTGACTGCCTGCAAGTCTTCGGGGGCAGAATCTGGAAGGAGCAAAGTTGGCAGGTCGTCCACATCACCCGCTGGCATGGCCTCAACACGATGCTTTTGCCGTGCCTGTCCAGCCTGGTTGAAATACGCATCTCGCAAAGCCTTGCCCACGGAACCTTCGGAGACCCAAGCAGATCTTCCTTCGCCGCTTGTCTCCAAGATCCGAAGCTCTATGCGACTGTCACCTCGCAGACGGCGGTTGACCACCGCCGAGATTTGGAGGGCTTGTTGGTTGAAAATCAGGGGCTCCCAGGATCAATGAATATTCTCAAATACAAGACCTGTTTGCACAGGCTTGGAAAGTCGTGCATGAGGCAAACTGCGGCACTTTCTTCCTCTGGGCAGAAAACAGAAATGCCTATGTTCACGATTCCGCACCCCTCCTCCTTTTTCTCCACAGCTTCCTGGCATCCACAAGCTCGCGTAGCGTGAGGCCGCATAATCAACTGGTTGTGGTCTGGGATCTTGTCCACATGCAACTCGTCGCCGCTGAGATGACGTCAGGATGTTGGAGGCCGTAAGGGCAAGCAAGTGAAAAAAGCTCTGGCTCAAGCACCTCCAAGTAGAAGCCAAGCATGACCAGTTTGCAGGAGCTGCCGGAGATTCTGCGTGAGGCAATCCTGGGCTGGTTGACAGAGAAGCGGGCACTCCTTGCACGCGCTGGTCATCACAGTGGTTTTAGGCAGCGCCTTGTGCCCGGAACTGCCGAGCTTGTCGCAGGCCTGCTTGCAAGTGATCTTTGCCGTGCCCTGTAGCAATGTCATCTTGACTATATGCCTGTCCGTCAGGGTTAGGTGCTTCGCATGCAAGGACTGAACAGAAAGACCGCCTTCACCGTATCCAAAATCCACCAATCGAAGCTTGGTCACGGACGAGTGTGCGGGCGGCGCCTGCAGCTGGTGGAGATGGATGGGGAGGTGCGGTGGTAGAGATTCCTTGCCCTGGAACTCCTCATGCTCAGAGCGCGCATCGCTTTCGTCTTCCTGCAAACTTTGCCAAGATCCAGCACTTCCACGCAAGGCAGAGAAATCCACAAGCGGGGGGGCTGTGGGGCTCCTTCCAAGGCAATGGCTTTGAGCGGCGTGGGCCTCCGACAATTTTGGGCAGAGCATGAAAATCAAAGTGATTCTATCCAGCGCTCAGACACAGAAGAGCTCCACGCAGCCTGCTCGATAAATGCAAAAGCAGAGACAAAGAGAGAGGGAGAATGGTGAAAGAGAAACAACGTCAGTTGCGGAGCACCGCTCTGCGCCTGGCGCTTGGATTTGGACTGGGCGCCGCCTCGCGCTGGCACCAATGCCCTTGTCGCGACTGCCGCGGGCTTGGCCAGAGCCTCAAAAAACAGCGCAAGGGCTGAGTCTCATAAACACACGAGGGTGGGAACAGCGCAAGGGCCCGCTTGCGAGGATGAGGTGGACAAGGCCGCCTCCAAGACTTGCGGCAAGCTCCTTAAGCCTTGAGCGGCTCGAAGAAACCTTTGCACGTTTGTCCAAGGGCACGGGTGGCCAGTTTCACACTGCCCCGCGTAAAGAATGTCCACGTTGGGTTTTTTGCTTCCAAAGCAACGGCAGCTAAGAGCAAGTTCCAGCAAGCACGGCCCCTACATTTGTAGATTTGGAGCCCGGATGGCCAGTTTAACATTGTCCCGCGCAAAGGGTTTCTCAACGGCAGACTCGTCCGAGCTAGCCATTGTCTCATCAGCGGCAGCTTCGTCTGAGCTGGCCATGTAGCGGCTGGCAAATTTGGTGTTGCTGCATGTAAAGGTCACCAGCGCTGGGCGCAGCCCCGGGACAGAAAAGAAGTCGCCTCCCGGGACAGATTTGCCTTTATGTACGGCAGCTCTTACCTCTGCATGGAGAGCGACGCTGTGCTCAGCAGGTGCAACTCCTTGAAGACCAAAGCTGTCCTTGAGCACACTACAGGGCCCATCAGCAAAGAACATATTCCAGTGCAATGTCGCAACAAGAGTTGTGACAGTGGCGCAACTATACAGGGTTGAGGGGCAAGCGTGTTTTCATCGGCTGCCTGGCTGAACTCCAATGTTTGACGCTCACTTCATCGTTTGGCTTCTCCACAGCTTGGCTGAAGCAGTTCCATTCCGACTGGTGCGACACAGCACGCAAGTTTCGTTGGCGAGAGCGATGTGGTTCGGGAGCAGGCCCGCGAAAGCGGGCAAGAAGACCTTCTGCCAACTGCAAGACTCCGTCTCTTGATCAGCGAGGGCTGGTTCAAATGGCGCTTCTTGCTGAGGCTGAGGACCTACGCTTGTGTAAGCCCCTGCTGCTGCCTTGCCCTCCATTGACTTGCGCAAGAACATGGAAGAACTTCTGGAGTCTGGAGCCAGTGTTGCCAGCCTTCCAAGCAGCGTTCACAGTGGAGGCCACTGACATGGCGCGTGCAGCCGGCATGCATTGTGACGTTCTCGTGATGGACGGGAATGCCAAGAGCAGAAGGGCAGCTTCATTGGCTTCACCGGCTGTAAAGGCCAGACTTTGCGGCATAGCTGCCCATGCAAACCAGTCTTGGGCAAGAATTTTTGCTCCGTTCCAAATGTCCAGGATGGAGAGTGCCGGGCAGGAGGTACATATTTTTTTCGCTGGGGAAACAAACGTTGGTTCATAACAATTGAGACTTTTCATGTCAGTGCTGGATTTCCTTGACCGGCAGTACTTGACGGCCATGAAGTCCATATGGGACACTGTGGACAAGTTCCGCGCTTACTCACCCAGCTCGGGCACCAAACTTGAGCTGCGTGGGTCTATGCGCTCCGTCTGCCTGCTCTCATTGATGTGTCCCCTCACCAATCGCGCTGGTGGCCTTCACCATCAATGTGAACTATGAATGCGCAGACCAGGAAGTGCAGCATTGCCAGAGAGCTGGACAAGGTGGTGCAGGACAAATTCCGGTTGCTCGTGGAAGCAGGGCAGGATGCGACCAGTGTGGTAACTTGTATTATTGACGTGTATATTTGCAGCACCCCGAGAGGCATGTTCATGTTTGTGCAAGCTTTGCCTGCGCCAGGCCGAAGGGCACTGTGTTGTCTGCTGCGATCGTCAGCGCGACTCCTGAGGAGTGGTTCGACTGGTGTGTGACTGACTTCAAGCAGGTGAAGAGTTGTGACAACCTTCCTGGTGTCCCAAGCTTGTGGCGAGGAAGGCAATGGTTTGGTGTTCTGGGCAACCTTGATGAGACGTACGACTTCCTGACTGCGTGCGGCTTCTTGTCAGAGGAAGGTAGCACGTCCTCCAAGTCAAACACCAAGGTCAATCCGCACCAAGTGCCCTGAACAAACTCTTGCAGTTTGGATCTGCAGCCCGGGCAACCAAGACGAGTGGAAGTTATGGAGACGCTTCCGGTAATGGCGTTTCGCTTGGGTATCATGCATCCAGTAACCTACGTGCCCATGGAGCGCTCCGAGACGGGCACCCACCATGCAGCCACAAAGGAGAGGTCGCCCGACCCAGCCACACGAAGAAGATTATCCACTATTTTGAGGCGCGGCCGGTCGCAAAAGTGCCAGTAAACAGATCCTGGTGCTCTCCTCGTCCTTTCAAATGCTTGAACAACCCGCTTTGCCAGCTTGCCCTGCGCAGGAGTTCCTCGGCGCTTGTGGGTGCCCTTGACGCCAAATGTGAAAGAAATGCTCGGAGTAGCGACGGCAGCACAAGCAGAGTCGCAAGACATTGGCCCTGCCGAGCATCCCCCGCGACTGGTGGCAACGCAAGAGTTCACAGCGCATTGTGTGTGAAGAAGGCTATCTGGTCAAGCCTCTGCACGGAGTCACGACTGCTGACGCAACAGGTTTCGTGGCTGAGTGGCGGGTCGCCAACCGGTCCTTCCATGTTCCGCCAGAGTTTGCCCTTGGTCTGCTGGTCCGCTGATCCGGCAATCCGATGGTGCGCTGATCCGATGATCCGCTGATACGCATGCGATGATCCGCTGATTCGCTGATCCGATGATCCGACGGCCCGCTGGTCCGATGATCCGCTGGTCCGACGATCCGTCATCCGCTGATCCGATGATCCGCTGGTCCGATGATCCGCTGGTCCGATGATCCGCTGATTCGATGATCCGACGATGTCCGGGCAGCCGGGTGATCACGAGTGAAACCTGGAACCCTCCAGTTTTTCATGACTCCGAAGCAGCAGCAGTCAGGGATTGAACCGGTCGCCAATAATTACCTGTTCTTGGGGGTGACATCCTCAAAAGGACCCCTGGGTACACCCCTGGAATGTTCATCGTTGGCTAGGCCTTAATTAAGGCCTGGTTGAGGCTTACCTTTGATTTCGCCGATTTCTGTCTCCAAAGGCCATTTTACAAGGACCCCTCATAATACAGAGAAATACGTGATTTGATTGATTCCGAAGCTCACTTTTGTCATCGCAAGAGCCCCCCTCAAGGCTCAATTCCCGCAACGCGGATTGCCTCGCAGAACCACCGCTGGGATTGATAATCAAACGCTGGAGCGGCTTCCAGTCAGAACGGGCACCTTCAAATGTTGCAAAAATGGCGAAGTCACAGTTGGTGTTGGCAACTTTTGAAGGGGCGCGCGGTCTTCAAACCACAAGCTTGGGTTTATAAGGTTTTAGTCACAGATAGCCACCGGGCTGGGGTTCATTGGGGTTTTCGGCCACAGATTTTGGGGTTCATAGGGGATTTCGGCCACATATTTTTGGGGTTCATAGGGGTTTTCGGGCACATTTTGTGGCAAGTTTCCTGTATGAACCCCAGTTTTACAGCCCAGGTTGACACCGAAAACCTTGAAGACGTTTGCCAAACGCGAATCCCACCATGTGTTTAAAGGCAGTTCCCCGCTAGCGCTAATGATGTACACATGGCTGAGTGGCCAGTTTTCTCTGGCCGGATACCAAACCGCCTCCATCGAGCCACACTTGCGCGGCAGTCAATTCTCTCAAAGGGCAAACCGGTTCGCGTGCCAAGTGCTTTTCACCGACCGCCAAATTTTAACCCATATTTAGCGCCCTTTTCATTTTAACCTATAACTATGAGACCAGGTTGTGGGGTTTATCCAGGGGTTCAAGCATTGGACTCTTGACATCCACATTCGGGGGATGTCTGTCTAGGGGGTGGTCCATGGTGGTTGGGTCCTTTGGGCAACCGAGTGGAGCGAGGTTGGATCTGGAGCGCCTCCCTGGGCAGGCCAGCTATCGTGGGGTTCGGGGTCTCCTCCCAGAAACCCAAAAGCGTACAGACCACATATGGGTGGAGCATCTTTGAGGCTACAAACCTTTGTTCAGGTATGTTGAAGAAGGAGCCAAGAGGAGCCCACAATAGTGTTTTTTGGGGAGTTCCAGATCTTCGTTTGCGTTGCTGGCCAGGTTGGAAGATGGGCGCGGCTTATTTCCAATTCCGATGTATGTGTAGCATACGTTCCGGGCAACGGTCTGGTATTTCCAGAACATCGTGCTGGATTTGATTGAAACAGGTTGAGAGAACCAGGTGGACGATGAATTGATAGGTGGTTAGCGTGTTGTTCAATGTATTTATCTCATGGCAATATTCAAATTAGCTGGAGGCCGTAGAGGGCAGTTGAGACCTTGCAACTCATTTGTTTGCGGCACAGTTCTGCAAGAATTAAGTCCCGAGCTGACGACATCCTGTCACAGTCCTTTATTAAAGGCCTTTTGCAAATCCAATGCATTTTTCACTTGCGCCGTCGCATCAGACATCATCCATTAAATGTAAAAGAGGGTTGTTGGCCTGGAAATCTGCTGTTACGCTTGAAGGGTGGCTGGGCAAGTCGACTGAGTGGGTCCTATTGCGCGCCCGGAAGTCAAAGGAAGGCACCAGTGAGGAGAGACACACCATGTGGGAAACACCCAACGGGACGATCCACACTTGGATGTTCAGTCTACCTACTGACCTGCTTGGTGCGCATTTTCTTTGTCCACAATACTTCCATTTGCTTAAGAATATCGGTTATTTTCCCCTGTTGGTTTTAAAGTGAGTCTATCACTACTGGAAATGTGTCTATTGTTTGATTCTCCTTGCCTTGCGAACCATTTTGCCTACTCTCACTGAGGCCGATGAGGAGGAGGAGTCCCCCGGCAGCCCATCGGAGCGCACCCGGTCCGGCAAGAGCAGGAGTTGCTTGGGCGCCGATTCAAAACATGTTTCAGGGCGGGTCGTCTTCTTTGGGTGTATCTCTTCTCTTTTAAAGTACCAAAAGGAGGCAGGTCAATTGGTGAATCAGCCAAATGAACACCAGGCCGAAAGGAAACCACCAATGGTAATGTTCATGTAGTCCAAGAGCCCTTCTGGAATCCCAGGATACCCTGAAAATGTATCCTTTAAGGCAACGTGTTGTTTGGTTTGCTTTCTTTGACTCCTTTCGGTTCCCTTGTTTGTCCTTAACGGAGACCGGTTATGGGGACTCACTTGATCTTACACCCCTCATGGGTGAATTTGTAGGGAGTGTGCCATTTTACAAGGATCTTTCACTTTTTGCAGGAACAGGGAAGCCCACCTTTACTTTCCAAACTTGGTTTGATCAACCAGACCCTGGCCTCCACTTAAGGGCGAACTCCAAAAGAGCTTACCGAAACAATAAATATTGAAGCCTGTTTAAGCCCCAAACATACCCTCCCAACCTTGTTGCCATGCAATTGGCTCCCGTTCAGAGGAACATGGTCCAAACCAGACCCAAATCTGGTACCATGGTTAACGTGTGTGGGAGGGCATGTGGTTTTTCCGGAAAGTTTCCCGCTTTCCTGAATAGCGAAACTTTTGAATGGAAGAGATGCGTGTTGGACATAAAGGGCAAGGATGAACTTCGCCCTAAAGAAAGGATTGCAGAGCTAGAGGAACACATTGCAAGGATTCGCCGATTTCCCTGGTCACCTACTATGTAGCAACTGGAAGCACTCGGGGGATGTCAAAACCGCCGAGGAGGAGCCAATCTGCGGACAGCGAGGAGACCACGGTGCGATACTCGGTTCGCTGCGATAGCGTCTCCGCCATGTGTTGATTTACCTACCAAAGAAAAAACAAAAAGGCGGGTATTCTGTTAATTTAACCCAATGTCAATGTGAGAGGAACATGTTGTTTGGTATTTTTCCCGCAAGGAGCAACATTTAGGTTTCCCTGCGCATTCTAAGGGGTGCCCAGTTTAGGAAAGGCCAGTTCCTGCTTCAGGACATGTTTTGTTTTGGAGTTTGCTTCTGTTGGTGGGGATGTTTGAAGGAGACATAAAAACTTAAAACATTTGTAAATCAGCTCAACGCTTACCTGTGGATTTTCTGGTGCCCCCGTTCCGAACCAACATGGCATTGCTTGTTCCCCATGGGGCGATGTGAGGTTCTAAAGTTTGAGTAATTTCGACGGCAGCCTGAGATATAGATCATACACGTGTGTGTGTGTGTGTGTGCGCCTTAGTTTGAGGGAGCCCTGCTTTAGTTGCTTTAAAAAGGAAGACCCAAAGGACAACCGCCATTTCTGGTTGGGACCATTGTTCCTTTGTTTAATTCCACGCCTATCAACATCTTTCCAGACACATCTCGTTTTGAAGAGCTACCAACTTGTGATGCAGCCAAAATGTGATGTTTGTAAAAGGGGGACATGTTGGCAACCCCGGCTTTTGGGGAACAGGAAGTTGGAAAGGGACAGCCATGTTTAATGGAAACAAAGAGAAACAACTAAGCCAATAGCAGGTTCTGAAGCACCGGCCAGCTGTGATTGCCACTGTTTTGTCTTAATATTGCATGTAATTATGTATATCTCATGTATTATCTGTATCCACCCAAGGGACCGTGACAAAGGACGACGGAAGCTGATGCACCCATGTGCTTCGCCAACTGAGGTGCCACGGGACCGCAGCAGGCCAAAGGAGCAGCTCGGCAAAACCGGTTGGCCATTGGACGTCCGTCAGCCAGTAAACAAGGGGTGCCCTGTTTTCCGCGGCCAGTGGAGTTTTGGGAATACCTTGTTTCATGGCGGTATAGAAAAGCGTTTGGCCTTTATAAACCTTTAAAACCATCTGAGTAGAACCAAAAGTCAATGGGCTTTGGGTGGATACGTGCAAATTTTGACCCTGTTCTTGTTGCTTGAACATGGTGAAAGTGTGGTCAACCACGTATCATGGTATCAACACTTTTTGAGGGTCCGTTGACCAACCTATTGCTCTAACAAGGGAGCTACTCATCTACTAGGAGTTGTGTAAGGACACGGTGCTTCTCAACGTCAGACTTTCTGGCCGCTTTCTCGTTGGCATCTCCGACTTGGGCTGACCGTATTGGCGCGATCTTGCCCCAGCCAAAGCCCCTAAAAGCGAGACCTCGGCGGGGGTACCTCAGCAAAGATATCAATGGTCAGCTGGGGGCGCAATGAACTTTTGTTGGTTTCCCTTTAAACCCCCCTGTTTGGCCAGTAGTCAAAACAGAATCCCAGGCAAACCCACCACGAACGCGGGGCGGGGAATTTCTAGGCATAACTGTCCCATGTTTTCCAGGAATCCTTCTTGTCAGAAAGCCACACTGCCGGTGTTTTGAAAGCATGGTGGAATCAAGCGCTCCTGCCCAGGCCAGCGTCGCAGGCCGGAAGGTGAAGGATTGAGCTCCAACAGGGTCTTCCTCAATTCTCCTTTTGGGAACCTCCACAGGGGGCTGTTTCAATGGAAACCACCAGGAAATGTAAATCTTTGAAGGGGTAATCAATCCAGTGACCCCTGTCCAAACCTCGGGTATACGAGGATGGGTACAGATGACTAAACCAGCGTGAGAGTTGTGACATCTGCTTTTACCCAATTGTTGTCCTCAGATGAACATGGAAGCCAAACCGCCCATCGGAGAGAAACCATGGGGGGACACTTGTGTTGTTTTGCAGAGCAACGTTGCGAGGCTGAGTTTCCCTTTTGAACTTTTTGAACTTGGTTTTCCGAACCACATCAACTTTGAAAGGGGTTGGATCAGTATCTAGCAGTCCCAGCCGTCAGACATAGGGCTTGTTGCCGTCCCAACGCGTTCCAGGGGTTTGGGTTGCCCTCGTTTGAGATCAAGTTTCGATTTCGGAGGCCCTACAAGCGTTCGAAATGGAAGGCGCCCTTTCGACCAATCCCCGAGTTTGTTTGACAGTAAGTTGACGGCGCGTGTTGTTTGGTGCACGCCCTTGCCTTGAGTGATACCCCAACCTGATTCAAGCCTGGTGCCAACCCGAGGTTGATTGATTGATCCCATCCCTGGGCCCTCAAAAGGCCCTTGTTGAGACTAATACTAGGTCCCCCTTGGGGAGGGTTCCCCTACTAAACGAGACTACAACAAGAAAAGGTACCCTTATTCTAACCTCTCTACTGGAGGACCTAGAAGATTCTTAGGGTACAGTTGCCCGAATCCTTCATTTGGGCATGGTGTTCTCTCCAGGGTCCCAGGCAGTGCTGCGAAACCCTTTTGGTTTCGCTGCAAACTCGCTTTGGAAGGATTCCTCATCAAACCACTCCTCGCAAAATGGATCGTTTGCCTTCGGTCCGTCTTTGAACCCGCAAAAAACGCAAAGGACGTGATAATGCCCCTGGTACTGTCTTATATCTTTGCCCCTAAAATGATAATGCCAGCAACTGGGTTCATGAGTTTGACCATATTTGGGGGTCATCAAAGTCAGTCTGGGGTGACTTTGACAAATGCAAAATAATTTCGGCCAGAGCAAAGACTCGAGTCCCTTTATGGTTGAACGTTGACCAAGACAAGACGGGGACCCCAGTTGAAGCCGCCAAGCGCTTGGCTTGCGCCGCTTTCTGCAGGCCGAGGCACCGGAGCAGCCCTTGAAGCGGAAGCGGACGCCTTGGCAAGTCACATCGCGGCTGAGTCGGTTGCCCAGGCATTGTCCCATCTCCAAAATGGTACTCCGATTGATGCATGGGGCAGCATGGGGCACCAGGGCATCCTTTTCCCAGCCTGAGATGCTGCATTCGGAGCCGATGTAGTCTTCCGAAATGGCCAGGACAGTTTGGGGGGCTCCTCCTCTCAAGTGATTCACAGCCTGATGATCTGGTATGCTGACAAGACTTCTCATTCCAGAGATAGGGTACGCCAACTTTGGCAGCATTAACATGTTGTGGAGGGCAACTTGGAGAGCTCAAGTCAGGCCAACACATCCCTTTTCAAAGATGGAATCGGGCGAGGGTTGCATGTCCAGCTCCATTTCCCTGTGAAGAAGACACACCCAGCTGCGGTCTCCTGCAAAATGCTTAAAATTCCAGGGTACACGAAATATGAAGCAGAATCTGACATATGATTTCTGTGTAGCCGAGTAAGGTGGTGGGGATGCCAACATCAGGGCTTACAATTGCCCAATGCCCGCCACGCTGGTCACAAAATATATGGGATGTTTTACTACCCTTCGCCAATGGCACACATTCCCATGACATGCTGTGCGTGTCTCCTGTGCATGGCTCGGACATTATGGAGATGTGTCAGAAGAAAAATTTCATGAAGCCCGCTGATGATCACGTAGTGCCTGGTCAGTTGTGAATCAACACAAAAAGCTCCACTTGTCAGGTCACAATCTATCTTGATAGAGAAGCAAGGATGGCACACACAAGAAGCCGCGAAAACACCGTGGACAGGAGATTGGACGTTCTCTCTCAGGTCAACATAATTATGATAATTCATGCATGTGTGTTTTCCTCCTGCTGATACATCACTTGTCAGCGTTCCCTCGCGACGCCCACACAGCCTGCTTCCCATGCCGCTGTCCGCTTTGGAAAAGCCAATGGCCGTGCTTGCGTTCTCGGCCGCGGTTCTTACCGTGGTGTGGAAAACCGTGGGTGTGTCTTGGATTCCTGGCTTCGGGCCGGCATGGGACGCTTGCTTCACCGGCGGACCACGAGCACTCTATCCCCGACGTGCCTCTGCCTACGCGCCTGCCTGGGGCATCTTCTACCTTCTCATGTACGGAGGACTCGGATCCATCGCCACGCTCGGGGGCCTGCAGCTCAGTTTCAGCAAGGCCTCCACGAAAAACGTGAAAACTGACGAAAACAAGGCCCCGATGGCATCTGCCTTCACGTGCACGAGAGCTCACCTCTACGGCTTCTTCCATCTCATGTTGGCGGTGCATCATTTGGGATGGTCGATCACACAGGGCAAGCAGTGGGGACGACTGGAAGTGTGGAGGTTTTCCGAGGACGGCATGCCTTACGCGCACGTGACGTGCGCCGTGGCGTCTGTTTGGCTGCTCTTCCACGCTTACAAGCTGCTCACCACGACCAAGGCAACGCCGACCAAGGACGTCATCCGTCGCAAAACCGTGATGGACACCGTGTCGGTGGCGACTTTCGTTCAAGTGCTTTATTTCACTCTCGCGAACGGTTTCGGTTGGGAGATCTCGTCTGCTTTGAAGAGACAGCTGTGGGCCTACACCTTTTATGTTCCTGGTATGGTGTTGGTGCTCGACGCAGTCCTGGCAAAGTCCCTTTGAAGCTTTTCAAGGAATCAAGTTGTCACTGTACACGTCTATGGCAAAGGCTCCAGCATCATTGGCCCGGCGAACCTGCAGAAATGGGCGCTTGCCAAGTGCGGTCAGATATCTAGGCGCGCGATCGAAGGTGATCGAACTGCCGAGAGGGTAGCGGCCATGGACTCGGGATTTAGAGCACCTCTTTGCCAATGCTTTTTCATGGAGAAGACCCACACTTTAAATTGCTGAGCACAAAACCCCGCCGAACTTTGCTGCCCAGTTCGTTTTGTTCAATTCATACCCATTTTGGAGTCCCGATCCAAGACCCATCATGCTTTGGGAGAAAGAAAGCTCGGATGCGCGTCTCCCATCTTGAAGGAACGCCTAGTGAATGAACACGCTTGCTCGAGCATCCAAAGGTGATAACTACGCCAGCAATTTGAATGCCCCAAAGCAACCTCACTCCCCGAGTTCCTGGACTGTAGACTTTTTGGCTTTGGATCATTGCAGCAAACAACTGGTTGTTTATTTTTTTCCGGCCAATCCACTCAGAAAGCGAGGAACTGGAGACAAACCAAACCCTGGCCTTGTCGCACCTCAGGTGCCTTCCGCCAGACTCGCGTCTGCCAGACTTGGCGTGCCTGGCAAGTTTGGTTCTGGTAGCTCCAGCAGGTCCTTCCACTTTTTCTGAACAGACGGCGTCCCTTTGTTTGTTGTTTGCACAATTGGAAGCAATATTATGCAATGTACATGTGTGTATGTAATGTAAGTATACATATATGTATATGGCTGTCCTTGCCGAGCCAGGGACAGGCTATTCCCGCATCAGGGGTCTGTGTCGTCCTTTGAGTGGGGGCAGAACCTAGTGGGTTGTGTGACTGTGCTTTGCTTCTGCTCTATCCGCCCAGTGGTGCCGCTCTTGCTGTTGCCGTGGCCTCTGCGTCAGCATGTGCCTCTGGAAGGGTGCGCCTCATTTTTAGGCGCTCTTCGCCAATTGGGGATTGCTTCCGTTTTTCCCCCTTCGGTTTGGGGGATGTGCTTACGCTGATGCATTTCTCACAGCAGTCTGGCGCAGAGTGAACGGCTGCGTTGCGCAGACTGCGTAATGCCGCTGATTTCCTCTGATGCCATCTCTTTCGTTGCAAAACTGCATTTTGTGGGCAGCCTCGTCACTGCACGCGCGTGTTGTTTGCTTTGTGGCAATAATTTTGATGCGGGCCTGCAATGATATCTCCCGCGCCGGTCTCCAACGAGGGGCAGGGAGTTCAGGTTGTATGCAGCCAAGTAAGTGTAGTATGTTGCGGGCCTCACATCATGTGGATGTCACCCTGCACAATGATGGTTTCTCTCAGAGATGGCCATACATGTTTGCCTAGTCCAGGTATTGTTGGCCCTTACCAGCAGAGAAAGGCGGCCTTTTGTTGCTATGGACATCGACTGGGCTTCTATGCGGGCAAACTATACTCTGACGAAGGTTGCTTAGATGAGTGTCGTGGCTTTGGTGAATCATCAGAGTTCATTCAGATAGATGTGGCTCAGTTGATCTGAAACGCATGATCGTGCTACTTCAGGGAATCCCACTTCAGATGATAGGGGAGCCCGCCGGATTTGAATCCCGTCAGAGCTGAGAGCTCACCAAGAGACATTGCTCAGGGGTTCCCATCCATTTGGCTGCCACGTATTGTCGGCAGGAAATTTCGACTCACGGGACAGACAGAGCGTCAAGATACGTTCCCCAATTCCCCTCAAAGCTTGTATGAGCTCAAAATTATTGGTTGGTTTCCCATTAGGGTAGTCCAAGTATGGGGGCTTCTCCCGACCCACTTCTCAAACTTTAAAAAGGCACTCGTAGAAAAGGAGACGCATGAGCAGGGTACCTACTGAAAAAGTATCGCGAGTTGGGAGGGCAGCCGTTATCCACCTGGACCTGCAGTGGACACCGTCGTTTGCTGCCTTCGTGCTCTTGGCGTGTAGCCAGAAACCAGGGGTCCATTGGGGCTCCATGGCCGGGAATAGGCTCTCCTGAGCTTGGGCTAGGGTGTCCAAAGTATCAGCTTTTGCTTGTCGGAGCAATTCCGATGTATCACAACAATTTGGATACCAATGCATGTATATATGCCAAAGGAAGAAATTCCAATTGTTTTTCCATACTGACAATTCGCAACGTACTACAACAGAGCTCCCCAAATGCTTGATGTCCATTGCTCTCAAGAGCCGGTCGTTTCAAGAGGCCTCGTGTATTCACGCATCGGCAACTGACAAGATTGGTAGACTAACTATTGTTACATGTGCCCGCAGTATTTGAATTGGGTGGGATATTGGGGTCCGTTTTCAATTGGGGGAGGCAGGTGGAAAGGGGTTGAGACGTCCAACCCTGCAAGGCGGCGCTTGAAGCGAGTGCAGAGAGGCTCGGAAGCGGAGAGAAAGGTCAAGCCACAAATGCGGGGCATATCATAGAAGGCATGCCATGGAGTTTTACATGATGGTTGTTCCCTTCCAGAACCCATGGATTTAAACGTGCTTAGGCAGTTTGGTTGGTGGTAATCCGAGCAGAACAGATAACCTACCTGTTGTTTCCATGAAAACCACAAAAGGACCGGTCACATGTAGAAAAGTGGCGAAACGTGAGGTTCCACAGTGCAGAAGGCTTCGTATGATTTGCACATTTGGTCAGTTCTGTTAAGGCTGGCTAAGCCTCGACAAGGAATTTCTGACCGGAACCTAAGATCTCGTAACAGCACACGCAGCGTCCATCTTCAGGAGATGGTCCCCTCAGAATGATTTGTATTCTTTTGGGAATCCGTTGGAACATCCCCAAGGAGGCACCCCCAACCGCTGCACGTTTGACACTTGGTTTTTTTGGACAAGGTTGGGTGCTGGAAGGCTCCCGAACGCAATCCTATGGCTGGTATGAGGTACGGACATGTTCAGCAATGACGACTGCGGAGGAAATCGGGGACCTATACTTGTTTGGAATGAATTCTCTAGTGCGGTCCTCCGCCTTGTTTTTTTTGTTTTGTTTTGTTTTCGTTTTTTGTTTTTTTGCTCGACGTTAAGTAAACATTGGTCCATGATCGGTCCATTTGGGAGGGATGCGGGATGAGCCCTAAGCTTGCCCGCAACAAGGCGGGGTCACCAATTGTCAGGCGAAACAATTAATGTTGGGCCATGGCTCATATGGGTGGCTCCGTCTTTCCCTTTGTTGACAACTTGTAAGGGAAAAGCAAAGAGAGCAAACCAACCATTGCTTGGGGGCCCCGAAAAAAAGAGGCACGTCCATGGCATTGGCCAGCCAGAAAGAAGCGGGGCGTGCTACAACTAGGCCAACGCCCCGCAGGTTTTTTCAGGGAGCTTTTGCGGGACTCACCGAGCTCATGGAGTCAAAACAAAGCGCAACACCCATAGGCGTTCATCTACCTGGACCGTCAAACTACCCAAGGACATGGGAGTTCACCAAACAGAACTTTGGGGCAATGAACCATGTTTGTGGGTAGTTTGAGTGTCAAAGTAATATTTTTGCAAAGGCAGTCCCCCACTTTCAATCCATCTACTGATGGCCGACTTGACATTAACCCTTAATTCTAAGTTAGAATTACGCCGTGGGAGGCTAACCACGGTGAACGCAGTAGGGCCGAGTTTTCGTGCGGTGTTTGATTTGCGGCAAGAAGGCAGATTTCATTGGGATGAAGGCAAGGGGGAGTGTTCAAGCCCAAGCAGAAGCGATGTCAAAGGCTCCATTTCCTAAACGGCCCTTTCCTGGTTCTGCGCGTTCCAACAATTGGGATCTGGCGCCTGGTGCTCTTCACCGCGAGCGAAGTTTGGTTAAACCAGGCCCTGGCCCTTTTTCGGTGCTTAACTCACTCGCCCAAGCTGCCCTTTTAACCTTGCGGTTTCCCCGATTTGGTCCATTTTTGGTCAAGATTCCAAGAGGTGAGCCGGTTAACCTTTTATTTCCCGGCTCTCTGGGCAAGTGAGTTCAACATGTTCGAACTGGGCCCGAACCCTGCTTCATCAGCTTGGGCTTTAGCCTCCCAGGCTGAGGCGAAAGGGTCTTTTTCTCCGGCAGCTCCTCGACGAGTGTGAGGCCGATCTGAAGGGCCCGAGATGCAAAGCGGGGAACTGCCAACCCCTGACATTGTTTGTGGGTTACCTCATTGTTTGTGGTTTTGAAGGAACACCAAAAGGAACGCAACCATTTTGGGGAGTCCCAAAATTAGACACACGCCTTCTTTGTCTTGGGATTCTAGTCAGGGCTTGACATCATAAAGCAAGTGGGCATTTGGAGGCTACGCGGCTTGCCTTTTTGGCTGTTTCGTCGTCCCCTATGGTCAAAAGGCCTGTCATACTCATCAGGTCAAAGGCGCCCACATTGGCCCAGACGCAGTCCATGTGTTTTAATGAAGGCTGTGGGTCTGGGTTGGTCATTCGGAGTTGGTTTGAACCATTGCATAAGTCGAGTACAATGAGAAGATGTGCAATGGATCATATGCTCACGGCACAACCATAGGCTGTCCGTTTTGGGTCGGTTTGGTTAGAAGTAGATTCAATGGCACTGGTTTAGATAGGGTTTTAGTCCATTGAACAGGGCCATCTATTTTACCAAAAGGACACCCATGGGGACAAGGTTGTCATTCCCCAAACTTAACATCAACTCTTTGTCCGATCAGCCCCCCCAGCGCCGTTACCAAATCGACGTTCCTGGTCCGACTACAACACTGAGTTTGTCAAATCCTTATGCCAGACGGATCCTTTCGGAACAGATAGCAAGCGGCCGGAGCACATCTATGTTCAACTAAACCCAGAATGGACACCTATGCTGCCTATGCGCTGTATTTCGGGCAAGTACACCAAACAGAAGGCGAAGGGTCCAAGATGTGAATGACAATACCTCACCTCCGACTGTTCCGCGTGTGGCGCGTAGCTCACGCCCTTGGCGGCAGTCCGCCTATTTGAAGAGGCAGCATTGGCAGCATACTAGCTGGCAGGAAGGTGAGCATGCGTAATCTCAGCATACACCGGAAAGCCTTCGTGATGGTTGATGTGAAGATACTGTGATGGTTCT